AGCTACCCTTGGTCTTATCCCTAGTTGCTGAGAGGCAATCAGTTTCCACAATACACGGATACACTTCTATGATCTCTGGTAATACAAGATCTTCTCAAGGGAAATAGCTTCAGCCCCTTCTATATGTAATTGTAAAGGAAGTCTAGAGTTGGTAGAAAAAACTAACAGACAGTGATTTCATTGGTAAAATATGTTTACAGTAGAAATCTTGCTCATTTCTGAATCTCCTTTCCTCCTTTCTAGATAATGGCCTTATTGCATGCAGCTTTTTTTTAGTTTCACATCTGTCACAAAACCAGATCATATAGGCAATTATTTTATAAAATGCTTACTCAGTTTAAGCATAAAGGTATGGAGGGTTTCTTTGTCCATTAGTGATGCAAATATGATTTTACTCTCAGATATATAAGGTCCATGTTGGTCCTGGCTTTCAAATTCAACTAGTACACATATATTTTTGGTAGTAGTCGGTTTGGAATAGAAACTTTGGCTATTCTGGGATTATCAGAAAAATGTTATAGGAATTTTTATAATTAAGACGCTGTCAGTTATGAGACAGCAGGTTTCAGGAGTTACAGTACAAATGCTCAGTGCAACTGAGGTAAATAACAGTATAATCTTATATATTTTTGTGTTTTAATTTCTATAAACCATATGATTTGTGAATACACTTGAAGGCCTTTCTCTGCTGAAGAAGTTAATTGGCTGCATCCAAAGTTGTTCCAGTATTATAATTAAACTTATTAAATGTTATGTTATACATATATATTTTTTAAATCTACGGATGCGGGTAAGAAGCCCAAATTATGTCAACCCTATACTAAAAAATACAATCATCTAAGTAGTCCACTTCAAAAAGAATACAGTAATAAATAGAACTTAAAGCTATGGAAAAAAACTCAGCAGTGATCATCTCAATCAAAGCAGGATCAGTATTAGAAATCTGCAATAAATCCAAACTAAAATGTAGTAGGAACATTTCTTATAGTTAATATTTTGTTGAAATAGTATCTTTTCCCTCTGAACAGGTTGCTGATAATCTTGGGTTTATATAGCCTACTTAGAAAATACCACATCCAGAGATTTACAAAACTAAATGTACTATTTGCATTGAAAGTTCACCAACTCGTAAGGTAATCTCCAAAGCCAGGCAAAGTATTTTGACAATTAAGGTAATTTATACAGGTGCCTTTCACTGGCACAGTGTACAGTAATAACTATTGTTTCAGCATTCACAACACACAAAATCAGCTGCCTAAAAGGGTCATTGTTCAATCTATTTTAAAAAGTGCAGTAGTCAATCCCAGATCTGAGGACTATGGTAAAGATATATGTGCTATATTTACACATTTGTAAGTTAGACACTTTTAAAAGAGAAATTTATGTTTCTCACATTCCTGTGTATCCTTCAGCCATCTGAAGCCCTGGGAATTTGCCAGTTGTCAGTCTGACAATCCTTTGTTGCAAGCCAATCATTATTGACCTCAACTTCTTTATCAATGTGGTTACTAAGAGTTCACATGAGCCTGTTGGTTCACAAACAATCCATGTATAAGTCCTCTAAATCCAAAGACCCCTTTGCTGGTCATCCACAAGTTTGCTTTGCCTCAATTTTTATAAGCAAGAAATTTCTTATCTCTGTTGGAATTTATTATGAGAAGGTAAACATGAAGTTTACACAAGTAGATAATAATCTTTAGTATGTATCTTATTTGCATATGTCCAAAAAAGATGTCAAATATCCCTTTAAATAAGATCCCGTCCCCACAGTTTGACGGCCGGACACCCGGCCTGCGCAGTGCACCTTCGGGCGCCCACCCCATTGCCAGCAATAGCAAAACCGGTCCTATACATTGCGTGACGTCATGTGTCGTGAGTTTGACATGCCTGTTCTAGGGAGATTACTTCCCTATTAGTACCCTAATTTTTTTCAAATAACTTTTGACTGCATAGTTAGTAATAATTACACTTTTTATTTCTAGCTTCAAAAATTCTGAGTATAAAACATCAGTTTAAATTCCCTACATTCCCTGCAACCTATTAGCAATTAATTTATCAATATACCTATAAAATTTAACCCACCTTCCCACCACCCTCATATTAAAAAAAAGATAAAAAGAACAAATGAAAAGGATAGCCACTGTGGTTTATTGAATCATTGTTTTTAATGGTGAAATTGTGCTATAGCTTTATTCACTTGAGTAATTACATATATTTTAAACATTTAACATTGTATTAATGTCAAACATTAAAGTTATAAAAAATAAATACTGCACTATGCAATCAAATTTATAAAATATTTCAAAATTAAATAACCAAAATAGTTCAGATAGAAGCAATTTTGTAATATTTATCACATATTCCAACTTTGAAAAAAATCTAAGAATTGTAAACCAACAAGAAAGCAAATGTCCTGTTTTCTTAACATTCTCTAATGTACAGTGAGATGGAAAAAAGATTTTGGAAAAGATAGTTATTTATATATGCCAAAAAACCTTTATTTCTATCCTGCAAGGGCAAAATACATTCATGATTTGATTAAAATCAGAGAACATATTAGATGTTAGGCAGTTATTACTTGCTTTAGAAAACATTTTCATCACAAATTATTTTAAAGACAAACTAATTTGGTATAAAAAAGCACCATTAAAATAGTTTGTGTGTGTGTTGATCCACTGAGATATATATTACTTAAGTCAGAAATATGGCAATGGACTTATAATTGCATAAATGCAAACTAGCAGCTTCTGCTTCTCAATGAGCTCACAGCAAGTTTCATATTACTAACATTTGATCTTGATCAATGAAAGCAACACAGGAAGCCTACTCCTTAAAAATTCACCATAACCTCTGGCCTAAAATTCACTGAGTAACACAGAAGAGATTTTAAATAGAAAATGCTGTTATACAATCTTAATTGTTTCAGAATTGTAGAATTCCAAAGGCTAGTTGGTATTTATCAAATTTAGGCACTGCTATCACAATATCTAAGTGACTCTGGGTTCACTCTAGATTATATTCTACTTTGTTGCAATACACAATAAGTGCTTAGGAATCTTTGTTAGCTTAATTGTAGCTACATTGAATTGTCTTTACATGGCAACTCTTCTTTCAAAAAATTGTGCTTTATGTTTCTGACATTCAGGAGACAATCCTTTCAACTTTCCCAAGGAAAGCTAAAAAGTTGGGGATTGTGTTTTTTTAATACATTCCATTGTTCCTTGCAACATTCCTTCATATTGTCAATGTCTAGCTTATCCAGATAGCGTTCTGACAGCACACACTGCGACATTGCACATTTTAGTGCTTTGGAGGGGGAGGGAATCCTCTTAAGCATATATCAGACATGTCAAACTTACAACGTCACGTGACGTCGCACGACGTATTGGGACTGTTTTGCCATTGCCGGCAATGGGGTGGGCGTGGCTTCCGCATGATGAGTCCGGCCCATGGGCTGGCAGTTTGACACCCCTGGCATATATCAATAATTTCTTCAGGTATGGCTATCTACACTAAAACATATTTTTGGTTGTATAGTTAAATATGCACATTTCACTATTTCAAGCAAATATTAAAAAGAGAAGCTGGAATTATATGCATGTTTTAAAAAATTGAGGATTTTGGTTCTTGTTACTGGCTGACTACTCAGAAGATTACATTTTATTGGACTTTAGCATGTACATAATCCTATAACAAGGTTAATATCATCTTCTTAGTATACATATGTTATATATACAACTGCTTTTTTCAGTATAATTGGACCTTTTTTCACAATTTGATTGCACTGTAGTTTATACAAATCATACTTGTATGATTTAAAATGTTTAAAATTCAGTTTGATGGATTTTTTTATAAGGCCCTAAAATAAGAAACTACATTTAGGTTGATCCATAATCAGCTGTGATTTTAATCACCACGTTAAACGTTATAGGAAAAAGTTAGTTTTTATCAACAACTAAAATACTAAAACTTAAACCCACAAAATTCCCGAACGAAAATGATTGATGAAGTAAATAAATAAATGATATACTTTCGAATCTCAAACGACAACACCAATTCTGTAGTCCGATCTTTCCCCTCTGACACTCAAGACAAGAACGGAATATCTGTGTTAGCCTGCTGGGTGTCCTGGCTAGTCAGTATCTCAGCCCTGGGAAGGAGGTAAAGGCCACTGAAAAAAACCTTGTCAAGAATGTTGCAGGGACTTGTCTAAGCAGTCTTCAAGACTCAGACACAAATAAATGAAGAAAAAAAATATTTATATGCCATCTGACTCTCGGCAACTCTGGGCAGTTCATATACATTTATAAACTACTTAAATTCATGCAGAAATAGCTTTTGCAATTCTGATCTTACATTGTTCATTATGAGCCATTTTGAGGCAAGGAATATTAATTAAAAGCAATTGTATTCTCAAAGTAAGGGGGTAATGGAAAAAAAACTATGCAACTTACAGCTTTAAAACAAGCCCATCCTATAGGCACTTATATATATCTCTGTTCTAATGCAAAGATATTAAGGAATACAATATTGGAGAACTCTTCCTTTTTTTTGGTAAAAGCATGAAAATGACGGAAGTTCTCTTTTTAATTCCTTGTGCCCATTAACAAAATTCAGGATTTATAATAAAGTTTTAAAAATTCAAATGTTTTGGCTACAATATATCATGATTAAACAACACTGAGAACTTTCTTTACTATCCAGTTAATAACTCTCTTTGCGTGAGGGGCACATGACATGGATTTTGTAATTTGTTATTTTGTATTTTAATTTGACTTGTTTTCTCTTTTAAAATAATGTTCAGATTCATTAGTTTGGAATGTAGGAAAGCTTGTATACTATGGTTGTAAGGATTGACTAGATAGCTTTTAACATTCCTAAACTGAAAAGATAATATACAGAAGATACTATCTGGATACTATCTCCTGATAAGAAAAAGTTTCTTAGTGTCAAATGGTGTCTGGTTATCTAACTTCAAACAAGCTTTGTAGTTGATTTACTGTGCAAGGAGGGGTTACTCTTATCTTATTCAACCAACTTTTCTCTTTCATTTTTCTTTGTTGTGTTAACTATAAAAAGGAATGTAAAATGGGTCTCAGGGTTCTTTTTCAGAGAAATCCCAGTTTAACAGGGTACCCTAATAAACTGCCTTTAAATGATCTTCCAACATGGTTGCTTATTAGGAAGGTAAACTGAGGCAGAACCTATGGCCAGATTTGGCTATCAGCATCAGAGAAATGCATAAAATTAAGAATGCAGCCTGTTAAATCTGGGGTATGAATCCAAAGAAGACAGGGATCCCACATAGAAAAATCAGAACCAGAAAATAGCATATTAGGACCACTCATATAAACAACCTGCTTCTCCACAATTCATAACTGACATAGGAGATTGGAAAGTTGTGGTGTGAAACTCTTGTGCTCAAAGCTGAATACCTTTGCCTTCACAATAAATGGTCCCCTTTTGAATCTTTAGTCAGGTTTCTTGAATCTTTCCTGGGAGATGTAGGGGGCTGCCGTACATATGAAGAAACCATGTATTAAAGGCAATTCATTCTGTTGTAACTGTATGACCATGCCTCCCTCAAATCTATGGCTTCCCAGCATAATACTCTGACCACGTGATTCATATGTCCATATATGCCACAGAATGAGCTGAGAAGAGAAAGTATGAGCTGCCTTCAAAGAAATGCTAAAACCTCAAGGTCATAGCAACCTCAACAGGGAAGTCTCTGCTTCTTTCACCTGTGATGGTTGTTTTTATATTTCCATTCCCTCACCTGACACTAATAGGTATCAAGTGAAGAATATAAGCAATCACGATCATACTGAGGTCTTCCTACAAAACATTTGGTATGTGTCTATTTCTGAGAAAGTGATATTGCAGTTTGCTATATGGCTTTAAACTATCCTCATATTCCAGTCTTCATTTGCAGTAGATGAGAGCTATTTGCCCAGAATGCCTTTAGGTACATAATGATAACATTAATAATTAAAAACTCCTTCATACAACATTTTCAGCAGTCTGCTGCAGATCAGATGAGCGCAAGGTGAAAAACTGGATCCAATTGTACAAAAAACCTCGATTATATTGGTCCGTGTCCACCACCATACCCCATAACAACTTCCGCCCAGTATTCTCCCGTAATGCAATACGAGCTTCCCTTTCAGTCATGTTATAGCTGATATTCAAGAGCTGAAGAAGAAAGATGTAGCTCATACCAGAAGTTACAATGGCACAATACCATACACTGGTGAATATCAGGGCTGAACTAAATGAGGAAGAGAAAGCAAGAATATTCTGTTTTAATATAGGCATGATTAATACAAAAGTTCATGAACAAAACTAATTTTCCAATGATAGTCTGGAGCATTCTCCTGCTTCTGGTAAATTTCAGTAGCAAGTAAACCACGTGAGTAACTTTAAAGCAGTGACTCCCAACCTTTTCTATACCCTGCACCTGTAGAAGGCTTCCGATACATTCTCGCACCCCTCACAAAATATATGCATATACAAATATATGCATATACACTATAATTTTGAAACTAAACCCAAGTTTTCGCACCCCCTGGAATATTGTCTCGCATCCCCAGGGAGAGCACCCCCAGTTGGGAACCCCTGCTTTAAAGCACCTAACTCTATATTTGTTAGATTAAATATGGGAATAGAATGGATATTCTTATTCTATTCTAACAATGTACAAGATGGAATTATTTGTAGTGACTCTCTGCCACCAAAATCACTTCTCCCTCAGAAGATGTGTTTGTTTCCCTTGTTTTAATATAAAACTGATCTAGGAGGATACTTCCGTCCTTCGGTATGCACGTGTTATCTTGCCAGTTGCCCTATTAATGCTATTGTCAGTGACTTTTTATTAATATTATCTTACTCTTTTTAGCACACGTGTCTATGACTACTTTCGGGATGAAAAATATATTTAAATGACTGCAAATAAGTGGTTTACCTTTTTTTCTCCAGAAATAACTTAAGTGAACTCAAGATTTTAACCCAATACAGAGTATAAAAAAAGTAAGCCAATGTGGAAGCACACCCCATATAAATGAAGCTAGAGAAATATACCCTTTTCCTTTAAAAAAAAAAAAAGGTAACAAAGAAGAAAGTATGAGAGCTCTCACTAACAGACAAAAAGAGACCAGGACATTTGAGATGAAGGAAATTTCATTGCATCATCTTGGAAAGCAATTACATTTTCCTTATGAAAGTGCAAAATTTCTCATGTAAATGAACAAATAAAATTATCATAGAATTCCCATAATTTTCTTTTTAGGGATTATCTTGACTTGATCCTATCAGTTAGTAAGCATTTCTCTCACCTGTATTCTCCATAGACACCAGGACAGTAGAACAGAGCACTGAGGGTGTTTTTTCCCGTACAAATGGTATCCAAAGTCAAAGAAATCCCATATACTGAAGTGAGCAGAAACAGGAAGAGAGCAAGGACAAAAGCTTGATGGTTCTGTTCTCCAACACAGTTGTTAATCCTCCAAGAAACAACGGGAAAATGTGATATGATAGTAACATGATTTAGAAAAAGCTAGAATCTAAAGTACCCATTAAGTACTTGGCTTCATTTTTTAAAATCTGAAATGTCTAATCACAGTTTACAAAGTAAAAAACAACTACTTGGCTAATTTGGACAAAATAAAGGTACAAGTCTAAAATCATAAAAGGAAGCAGATCTTTCTTGGGGGGGGGGGGGAGCAGGGTTCAAGAGACACTTGTATAAAAATAACTCAGGAACAGCATGCTGTACCCCTTAAGAGGAGCTGCTAGGAAGAAAAAAAAACCTCATTGCTGAAACAGGAACAGCCTCAACCAATCAGAAAAGGTGAGACCAGAATTGCTTATGATCTATATTCCAAAAGATTGTAATTCTATTTATATGCTTCAAAGACTATGTGCTTACTATTTAACAAATGTCTTGCACTAATCTTTATAAAATAAACTTGAGTAAGAATTGTCCAACTTAGCAGATGCTGCACACCATTCACTGTCTGCTTACCTTAAATGGCCCAATCGGTTCTTCTGTTCACCTCTGCCAAGTTCCATGTCAATTTTTTTTTGTAAGGAAATCATTCCAAATCTGTGATAGCCTTATATCCATGGCGACAATTTAAATCATAGAAAACAGGCCCAAGATGATGTGTGCAGATAACTCTGATTTTTCGCCTTACAGAAGCTCTGAAAGAAATCATTCTGGTTTCTTTCATGTGAATTGGAAAATTAGTGATAATGCTCTGATTTATTACATCACCCTGTTTATATCACTAAACAGGGTGATATAATAGATATTCAAAGTCCCTTATCTCTTACATCCTGATGGTATGATTTACCTGCAAAAATCCTGTATTTCAATTCTGCCACTTCTAGGTAGTAATGGGAATGCTGCTATTTGTAATTTTGAACAGAAATTCTCCAACTAATGGCGAATACAGGAAAGCTCAAAGATAAAGGCTTTTCAATCTGTTCAACAGAGATAACAAATCAGTGGAACCACTCACATACAGATAAAGCCAAGGTAGAGAAAAATATTTCAGAGAGAACTACAGCTTGCTGGCAAATAGAAGTGTAAGGAAAAAACAAAGGAACGTACCAGACACAGTGATGATCCAGTCTCTTCACACACCTGCCACATATTCGGCAGTGCCCGGCTCGAGCTGGTCTCACCAGCTGACACTTGGTGCACCAGTCCTTTGCGCCCTGACCTGTCCCTGCTTCCAATGTTGTGGAGTTGCTCTCAGTGTCATTGTGTATAGCAACACCAGAGGCAGGTACTCTGCAAAGCCCACTGGAGTTTCCCAGGCCATTCTTATTGAACATGTTATTACTGCAGCTATCTTGGCAAAGTGTTTTGTCACTGCTCATTTGGCTGAAAAGGTAGCCAGGATCTTCCTTGGCTCGATGTAAGGCTGCAAGCATCAAGATTAACCCACAAGTAAGAAGAGCCACCTGACTGTATTCCACATGGCCCCGGGGAACCACTTCCAGGAGAAATACATAGTACATGTAACCTAAGGAAAATAGCCCCAGGCTTAAGAAGAAGAGAGTCTGACCTTTCTTCCTATGTGTGAGGTAGTAATACCATAGTACTAGTATAGGAAGTGATATCAGAATGACGAGGGCCAAAAGAAAGTGCAAAGCTGCTATGTGAAGGGAAAAAGGAAGCAAGATGATTGGCGGGAGGAGGCTGATATCGATCTTTACAGCCCCTCGAATCCATGGAAAACGGAAACGATCGTTGAAGGTTTCTGTGATTCTCTCTAATATTCCAGGAGGTAAAGATTTGCAAGTCATCCACCTGTTAGGAAAAAGCACAGACTCTGCTCATATTAGACCAAACAGAGCAAGAAATACATTTTTGCTGTCACATTAACTTGTACTGCATCAGAACTTTATCTCCTGTAAAAGTAGAATCTAAACATGCATTTCTAAGGACATGTTTATACAAGAAAAAGCAGTAGCACCTTTGGACAATCACCAGCTGCAGACAAGTTTCTGTTCTTTACATCACACACAAGAGAAGCAGAGCCATAGTCCAGAAGAGAACACATGACACATACCAACATTTCTATCCTACCGTCTGCTAATTGATTTGGACCACAACTCCCATCACTTTCAAATCTAACAGTGATTGATACTGTAATCCAACAAACTTGGGGGATAGTGGTTTAGGAAACACCCAACTATGCTATCAGCAAACATACAGCTGGTGAGGAGTTCATCTTGTGCTTTAAAATTTTAACCTATGCAAGGCAACAGCATCCCTAGCCAACAAAGTTATTTGTGCAGAAAGAAGGGACCTGTAGATCCAATGAATCAGAAAGGCACCAAGATGGGAAGGCGGAATCTTTTTTTTAATCCACCTGGACTACCAGCCATGTGGGTTGGACCGACATTCTATCCTAACAGGTAAGATGAGATGATGAGATGAGATGAGAAGATAAGATAACCTTTATTGTCATTTTTATACTGTGGGCACAATGGCACACATCAAAAAGGAAATTTAGTTGCCCGCTCTCAAAGTAAAACACATACCTGACACACACCTAAACATACTATGAACAACATATGCATAGACCCACATCCCTACATATACGTAGCAAATAAATATTAAATATTGTCCATCTTGAATATATAACGGAAGGAGGAAGCTTGAGAGTTTGCAAGGTTAATGCTGTATGGAATGAAACTCTGGCTGAATCTGGATGTTCTGCTTCGGATGCCACGAAGCCTCCTCCCAGAAGGTAACAAGGAAAACAGGTCGTGAAGAGGATGTGTAGTGTCCCAGATAATCTTCTAAACCACGTGAAAAACCACGTGGCCAGTGAAATGCCAACAGCAAGGAATCTCCCCGCCTCCTCCCTAACGAAGTCCCAGCTTGAGGAAATTCTCAGAAAGAGCCCCCACGCCTTACCTTTCACAGCACTCATCGAGGTCCTCACATTCGCAGAGACACGCCGCTAGGTGGCTCCTTTGGCCCTTCCGATCGAGATACTCGCAGCAACAGAGCGTATCTTCCAGCTCCACGGCTCTCGCTCTTTTTCCCGCCCGTTTGACCATGTTTCAGCCACGTAGCAACAGTAACAGGACCTTCACCTGACCACGGTCCGCATTGAAAAGGAGCGTGAGAATGGGTGAGTAGAGACACCTATGTGAGATGTAAAAAGCCCAAATTTTGATACAATACGAAGACAAGTCTGGTTAACAAAACAAAGGTTTATTGGAGAATAACATAAAAAGAATAGAAAGAGAAGAGAAGAGAAGCGTTTGCAAACGGGCCTCCTGGATCCTTCCCTAATGGATTGGTTTCCAGGAGCACCCTGGCCTGGTTTCCAACTCTGCATCTTATAGCTCCTCAATGCATGCCACATCTAAGAAGCTCTTTCCTCTTTATAATGTCCTTTGAAGTTGTACTTAGTCATCCTGACCTCTTCCACCCATCTGCTGTTATCTCGTTTATTTGTAATTTTCACCTAAGGTCAACATCCCCCTCTTTGATAGTAGGATTTCTACTCAAAAGTGTAAGTTCCTGTGTCCGGAGGACTTTTAGGCAGGAAACAAGTAAACATTTGGTCATTTATTGGCATTGCATTGTTACATTTGCGTTACAGCGTTACATTTGTACTAGAGAGACAGTTTCATATAACGACATTACATTTCTGCAATTATTTCTACAATTATTAAAAGAATAACTTTTACTTCCTTCACCTACTTTCCAATCAGACCGAGAGGAACGTTCAACTCTAAAGAAGTCGGGTGAAAGTAAGCCGCCGAAGGCTGAATTTTGAAAAGAAAAATAAATTCGCGCAGACAAAAGATGTTAACTCCATTTAACTACCTGGGACCGAGCACCGAACAATACAGGCTTCTTGCAGGGATGGACATTAGATAAAACACAGGATTCCTCCCCGAAGGACACGCGACTGAATCACCCTGGCCGTTCTTATCAAAGCAAAGCACCACCGCTACCACCTTCACGGAAGCAACTCTTGCCATGTCCGTGACTCTCCCGCCCCGCGAGCCTTGTTGCCATTCTGACTCCCAACTCCGCGAAGGCAAAGAAGGGAACGAGGAAAGGCTCCCAGCCCCGCCTTTTCTTGGCCACGACGATTGGTGGGATTCTCTAATACCAGGGGTAGGCAACCTTGGCTCTTTTATGACTCGTGGACTTCAACTCCCAGAATTCCTGAGCCAGCCATGCTGGCTCAGGAATTCTGGGAGTTGAAGTCCACGAGTCATAAAAGAGCCAAGGTTGCCTACCCCTTGCTCTATACGGTCCGCCTCGAAATTTTATTTTAATCACTCCTGCTTAAAAGGCACGACCCCCCCCCCGTCCCTTCTTGCAGTTCTCCCCTAAGTGGCCTCACGGCAACCTGAAGCTTCCGGCTTCCTTAGAACGCCGGTCTTTTCCTTTCCCTTTGTGACGTCACGGAGATCGGCCCAATGCCGGGAAGGATAGCGAAGGTGTGGTTTACCTTGATCTCAATTAGCGCCGAGTCTTGCTTTGTGCAACAGCTGTGAGCGTAGACTTTAGAGCAGTGTTTCTCAACCTTGACCATTTTAAGGCATGTGGACTTCAACTCCCAGAATTCCACAGCCAGCAATGCTGGCTGTGGAATTCTGGGAGTTGAAGTGCACATGCCTTAAAATGGTCAAGGTTGAGAAACGCTGCTTTAGAGAACTCGTCCGCGATAGTGAAGAGTCCACTGACTATAAATAAAGAGAGCGGAAGTACAGTCTATGGCCAACTATCTTTTGGTCTGGTGTTCAGATCCAACCCATGTACGGTAGTTAAATTACGTCGTTAGGAGCTAAAATGCGTTGAATTGCTCCACGATTCGGCTCTTACTACTTTCATGCTCCAAAAGTTTTTGCTCCCGAGTTTCGCCGACCGATCGATTAGGTCCGCTTATTTTGGCTGTCTTGCATTTCCCCCCCCCCCCCATCAGATGAGTTAGGTTTATCGATTGATGCTTAAATTACTTCAGCAAATTTATATACTATGCCGTAATTACAAGAAGGATATTGGACGGATCGATTACATCTGTGACAGGCAAAAACTTTTCAGGCATATTTTGCTAGTGGCTGGCAAAAAAGAAACAAATACTGTAATTATAAGGAAGAACACAATGCCATAATAAAAAACAAACAAACCTATTTTGACTCAGTGGTCAAAACATGAATTTATTCTCAGTTCTTAATATTCACGCATAAAGGCAAAGCTAGTGGTATGTCTGCACTTTGTCCATTTCCTGCCACTAAGATGCACTACAACAGAAAAATCAATTTCTTTTAAAACAGTTCAAATTATAAACTAGTGATAGTTTTAGCCATGCCTTTGATAATGTAGGTGGATGGGTTAAGATCTCATTTCCTATTTTATGAATCCTTTCAAAAGAATTAAAACGATCTTAATGTACCATTTTTTTAAAAAAAAATGTAATTACAGGTTAGTTGAACAACCATTATGTTTATACAGGTAGTCCTTGGCTTACGACCACAGCTGAGACCAGAGTTTCGGTGGCTGAGCAAAGCAATTATTAAGTGAGTCACGCCCAATTTTATGATCTTTTTTTGCCATGGTTATTAAAGTGAATCACTGTAGTTAAGTGAATCATGTAGTAAGCAAATCTGGCTTCCCCCATTGACTTTGCTTGTTGGAAGACAGCTGGGAAGGTTGCAAATGGCAATCATGCGACACCAGGATGCTACAACTGTTGTTAATACCTAAGATAATTTACAACAGTCGTGTCCAACTCTAGGGATTAGGGTTAGCTGAGGAAGCCAGCGTTGGCCAAAGATGCTTCCATGGTCATGTGGCCAGCATGACTATACAACAGGGGTCCCCAACCCCCAGTCCAAGCATGCCAGAAACCGGGACGCACAAACAAGCAAAGCTCCATCTGCGGGATGCAGGCAGTACATGAAACCATGCCCCCTCCGGTCCGCAGAAAAACCTCTCCATGGAACTGGTCCCTGGTGCTCAAAAGGTTGGGGACCTCTGCTAAACAACAAAGTGCACCAAATGCTGTTAACTTCTCACCAATTATATCTGTTTATCTACTCAACTTTACATGCTTTCAAACTGTTAGGTGGATAGGAGCTAGGGCAAGTAATAGGAGCTCCAACTGCCAAGTCCCCAAATTTTGATCAGATGATTGTGGGGATATTGTGAGGAACAGTTGTAAGTCATTTCTTTCAGTGTTGCTGTAACTTGAAATGGTCACTAAATGAATGATTTTCAATTAAGGACTACCTGTATTCTGTTTTTTAAATTTCCATGAAAATGTTTCTATTTACCCATACATTTGGGGGAAGATAAACAATATGACAATAGATCCATGTAACAGAGGTAGATTATCAATATTTACTTACAAAATAACTGATCGCTATGAGTCCCTGCCCCTATTATGAAATGGCAGTAAAATAAATGCAAGTGATCTAGCTTTCTTTCACCTGTTCTTAATACAAGACAGCTATTTAATACTGGTAGATGGAATATGGAAACGTTTAGCCTAGGTCCGTGATATAAAGTAATAATTACATGAACAAATTCAGGATTAGCTGGCTCAATAATGTTTCTATATTTACCAAGTAGAAGCCTCATTTTCTAATTGCTTTTGGAATGGAATGGAATGGAATGACAATTGGAAGAAACCCTGGAGGTCTTCTAGTTTCAACCCCTATACCATTTCAGACAAATGGCTGCCCAATTTCTTCTTAAAAACCTCCAGTGATGGAGCACCCACAACTTCTGAAAGCAAGCCATTCCACTGACTGATTGTTCTAATTGTCAGGAAATGTCTCCTTGTTTCTAGGTTGGATCTCTCCTTGATTAGTTTCTATCCATTGCTTCTATCATGTCATCCCTAGTACTTCTTTTCATTAGACTAGACATACCTAGTTTCTGTAAGTGTTCATGTGTTTTAGCTTCCAGTCTCTTAATCACCTTTTTACTCATCTTTATACTCTTTTCAGAGTCTCAATATTTTCTTACCATTACTTGCGTATTTTAATTTGTATTCCTAATCTGTCTTTTATGGTACGGTTTTTGAGAGGTTGGACTGTTTTTTCCTTTTGTGTAAAGATAGATGCAAAGAATGAGTTAAGCAGTTAAGCAGTTCTGTTAAACCAAAAACAGATAACAATAAACAATGTGATATATTGTAGAACTAATTACATCGTCTAAAATCAAACAGTATTGCAAAAGGAATGCCTTTGGTTGGCCTGAAAATATCACCTTGTTGTTCCTTAGCAAGGATTTTTATAAGTACAAATTGGGCATAAGAAGGGCATGATAACTGAGAAGGCTCTATGGCCATTTCCTAGAAGGGAAAGCAAGGGATGGATCTTTTAGTCATTGTGGCTCTGCACAATGTCATCAAAAGTCATTTTTTTCATATTTGTTTTACATTTTGACCTTTTAAGCAGGAATAGGAGGTAGATGTCAAATATGTGCCTCTGAAGATAGTGACAGCAGGAATGATTAAGCCATGATCCCAATGCAGAAGGCAGGACCAAGATGTGAAATCTTCTAGAAGATGAGGTTTGGCAACTCTGCCTAGGGGCCTCAGCTATTCACTACACCATAAAACTTCAATTAAGACTAACACAGAATACCTACAAATATTTCAGGACTCATTTTTGTTTGCTTTGGTGCCTTCAAACCAATTTTGTCTCACGGCGACTGCCTAGACCAGGGCTTTTCAACCTTTTCACCCATTGTACCACTTTTAGGATATGGCAATATCAGAGTACCACCAGTTGTCTAGCAAGGTGTCAAAAACTTGATGACCAAAAAAAAAAAAAAGGAAAAAAGTGATAAAGTACAGGTAGTCCTTTACAACAGTTTGCTTAGTGACTATTCGAAGTTACAATGGCACTGAAAAAAGTGTCCCCCAAGCCACAGCCGAGCAAGACACCTGCCTGCCCGCCCGGCGGTGCTGTTCCTCCTGTCCGAGGTTTTCATTGTTGTGAGCATTTCTGTTGAGGATTGGCAGCGGGGGTGGGGTGGGGGTGTTTGGTTTTTATTCCCCCTGTCTGCTGGGTGGTTGCAGCAGGTTTTGGTCACTTCACATGACCCTGGGACACTGTGACCATCATAAATATGAATCAGTTGCCAAGCATCTGAATGTAAATCACAAGACCCTGGTGATGCTGCAACATTCCAGCTGATCGGCGCTTCTTCTGGGCTCAGCAGAAGTGCCAGGATCAATGCTGAGCTCCAGCTGGAGCCTGGCGCTGATCCTAGTGCTTCCGCTGAGCCCTGACAGTCCTGAAGAAGCGCCAATCAGCTGGAAAGCGGCACTGATCCTGGTGCTTCCGCTGAGCCCTGACAGCCCTGCAGCTCCAGCCATCTCTTGGTCAGGCTTGTGCGGTGCTGCGCCGGTTCAGCTCATTCCCCTCCCCCGCTACTTTTCTAGGATGGTCGCGTACCACCTGCCAGGTGCCAATGTACCACAAGTGGTACCCGTACCACTGGTTGAAAAGCCCTGGCCTAGACAAGTCTCTGATGTTTTCTTGGCAAGATTTCAGGAGTGGTTTGCCATTGCCTCTTTCCTAGGGCTGAGTGCGTGTGACTGGGCCAAGGTCATCCAGCTGGTTTGGTGCCTAAGGTGGGACTAGAGCTCACAGTCTTGGTTTCTAGTCTGGTGCCTTAACCATTACCCCAAACCATTAATTACCTGGTTTTCTGATAACACCCTTCATTTAGAAGCAACTGTTTGTTATTTTATTAAATTATAATCTAAGAAATTGTGTAGTAGTTTACCCTTATTAATACATTGCCATCCACATTAGTACAAGTTGTACTGCGATTAATAATTTTCAAAATCCGGTTCGTCAGTTAAAACTTGTTTTAAATATAAGAAATAAAAAGGCACTTTTGACAAAAGACAAATGAAAATTAAGGCTCATAAGCAGAAATCTTAAATAAGATTACTTCCTCTTAACAGAAAGATACATAGCATAATCAAAACTACACAGTACTGTATGTTCATAATTTTATTTGCATCACATTTTCAATGTTTTTATTTTTTATCAGAAATGCAGTAGTGGCCAAAATTGTGGGAATCTTTTGGGGAAAGTGTAGTAGTACCATAAAAGTATATATCAATGGAAAGATAATTTAATCAAGAATGTAATGCAACAAAGTTTGTTCAATTATCTGTACTGTATTCTATGAAAAGTTATAGCCAAATAATCAGAAAAAGGAAGCACAACTTGCTTAGGTTGATATCAGGTAGCTTTCCTTCATCTGATTGTAGCCAATGAGCATGAGTGTTTAGAGAGCCAATCAGGTGTCATCTTGTTTTGGCAATGAGCCAATCAGATCACAGTAGGATTCAGTTATTGATGTCATGTATTAAGCTGAGAGGAGGACATTTGTCAGTGTGCTATGTGATCGCTATCAAATTGTTGGGTTTTTTTGTGTTCTTTCATTTAGTGAGCTTGTAAAACACAATAAAATTAAAGTAATAGTGCAAAGAGTTGACTGGTTGCCCAGAAAGCGATGTAAAATAGTATTATTAAGTGAACAAGGCTACAGTTATAAAGAAATTAGAAGAAAATTGGTGGAAACTTAACCAAAAGTTTCCACAATTTTGGCCACTACTGTACAATTAGAACATTTTCATGGGATAATTTTCTTAATCAGAACAGAACACTTACATACATATCACAGTCTGCATCTCTAATTGTTGCAAGAGACATGATCCCCCAGGCCTTGAAAGCTATAAAATGATAAATCTATTCTTACAAAGAACTCTCCAAAGTTGTAATATGTAAATCAGATTATACATTAGTTACTTTTTAAAGATATGTAGAGTTGGACATTTTTAAACATGATTTCCAGGCATGAATAAAAATTCCCTGAGAAATTCTGAGAATTGAAATGATAGTGACTAAGAGGAAGAAATATTATAGTACATAAAACAAACTCCGCCCCAAACAGAAAAAGCTACATGTAAAAATTAGATTTATTCATAGATATCTGGAACCAATAAGCCAAACATTGCAACAATTTATTTTTGAAGATTTGTTACATAAATACAAGGAAGAAGATGAGAAAAACTTTGCATGTGATAAACCAAACATTTTGTATTGCATCTTTCATAACACTTAAGATTGTTCCCATCTAAATCCAGTGTTTATTTCTTTATACAGTGCGGTGCTTTGCTGAAGTGTATATCTGCAATGTATATATAATTATCAGCTCTCATTGTGTTCTCAATCAGTCATTTCCATCAATATTCACAGCTCAAGAAAGTGTTTTCACACACACACAAACATAAGAAACACACATATAAGACATCAAGTGGGTCAGGAACATTCACAAAGATTCACAAATTCACAAGAAAATTCTTTTTTAAAGAAGCTTATTCCAGAACAATATTTATTATATGTTAAAGTATTGTGATGAAAAAACTGTAAAGAAGCAGCTTTACTATCACAGCAATATATTTTTTATTGTATTTTCATTTCTTAGTAGCTGACTTTGTTGACATCAACTTTCAGGCTTCCCGTCTTTGGTTGTGTTTAGATGATCAAAACTACGCTGGAGCATAGACAATGAGGTCTTCAGCTGGAGTGATAAAGATTGCACAAGGATTACCCAACAAATTATACTTTAAATCAGAAATGAAATTATTTCCAACCCAAAGCAGTTCTAGGTTTCACAGGAAAGTATTTTTACATTCTATTTTCAGTTGGAGCTCTAGGTAGTGCTATTTTAATTATCAACACTGTCTCAGACTGAGATAACATCATTATTGTCCATCATATATAATACCAATGAAGGTCAGCCAGCATTTATTTAAGCTCTAGCTTTCTTCTGCACTATTATTGGTACCAAGGAAATTGTCTATTAAGAGTTCAGAACCTTTTAAGAAATCTCCCTAATTCTAACCAACACAAAATGAAAAAGGGAAAGGATAAAGGCTCTGCCATCTCTCTGATTTTGGCTTTACCAATCTCAACCTCTGCCCCCACTGTCCTGCTATTGATAGACTCTCCAATATTCTCTATGCTTAAGGACTTCTCTAGATCTGCTTCCTTAGCCTACCTTCTTATTTGTCAGGATAATCAGAAGGAAGACCTTTGATTGTTGCAAGATCACTATATTGATAGTTGGTCACCTCATATCCAAACTGCTTTTAAAAGCTGCCTCTTTCTGATATTGACTGGTTCTATGCCATCCAATTCTTTTAGGGTGGATTGCCAGTCATTAGAGCACTGAGCTTTTCATAATCCTTTTCTGCCTTTCACCCAAAATCACACCCTCCATTTTATCAGTTAGGCGGGCATCTGCTGAGGTCATTTGGCCTCAGATTTTAGCAACTATTATTGAACCATAGGAACTTTTCTCCTGTTCATCCCCAAAGAAGATTGTACAATGCAGCCTTCAACATTATTCTCAAATCAGCGGACTCAGTACAGCAGTGAGTTCATAGTGTTACAGCTAGGCCATTATTGCTAAATATAATAAGAGACTTCTGAACTAAGACAGTTTTTATACCATTAATTTACTATAACCATCAAGAATTTTTAGAAAATAAATGAAAAGGTATGTTGTTTCTTAATCCTCTAGATCAGTGTTTCTTAACCTTGGCAGTTTTTAAGAAGTGTGGACTGTAATTTCCAGAATGCTAATTTGGGAATTCTGATAGTCCATACATCTTAAAGTTGCTAGGATAAGAAAAGCTACTGTAGTTATTTATAATGATCTCTGTCCTTACATATACAAAGGCTCAAAACAATAAGGACCAGAATACTTACCTGTTCAAGCAATGCTATAGACTCCTTTAACACCCCTTTCATATGTTGGGCTTGATTCATGTTACGATGAGTTTTCTCCTTTGATGCCACGTTAAGGGCTAGACTGAGGAAAGAACAGAACATTGAAATATAATATATTTGCTTCATCAAGCATATAATTTAATCATGCGCTCATCTCCATATTAATTTTACTAGAAAAATCAGCAGTGAGACAGTTGCTAGATTATCACATGGTGGATAGAATTTTAGTTTTCTTATCAAAAATATTAAGGCTGAAAACTTTCAGAGAGAGAATATTACCATTTTGTACATTTTTTTTCAAACCAAAGATACCGTTCTATTATGAGTACCATATGGGTGCACCATCATTTCCTATATTGCTGTGAAAATAATTGATTATAGGATCATTCAAAATGACAGTCAAGTGATTTCCCAAGTGAAGTGCCAATACTGCCATAAAAATAAATATTATGCATTCAAATCTTCCATGCATTATCTAGTGAATTTATGTTAATGACAACAGTTGTACTCTCTATCATGACTTCCTGGCCTTCCCCATTACTAAGGACTTTCTCACTTGTGAAAAAAATACAATCCAAGCACTCTAAGCATGCAAGTTTTCTTTTTTAATAAAAACAAAGCTTAACTGAAAGGAAATTCCCCTTAGTACTGTTTCCCCAGAGTTGGATCGTTTGAGTGTGGCTGAATCAGAATTTACTTATATATTTATACACTATTTCTTCACTATCTCAATTTCTCTTAACTAAGAGCAATTTACAAAAAATAACAAATCAAAATTAATACAATAAAATACACAAGTCAGTCCCAAAAGGTGACTGGAAAAGAATGGTTTTCAGAGCTTTGAAATGTGAGCAAAGTGGACGAGACCCGTATCCTGACAGAAGAAAGGTCTAGATAATGGGTTTAGAATCTTCTACAGTTAAAATCCCAATATTTTTTCAAATTCTTTTCCCCAAAATGGAAGGTTAGAGATTGTGGATGCTATTTAATACAGCTGTATCAAGAGATAGTTACTTTAGGAGAGGACACATCTCTGCTCATTCAAGGTAGATGTACCTACCCTCTCTCAAAAAGGTTTAGATCACCTCTCAAATCCAGGCATATGCATACTATCTGGCATTAATTTTCAAATGAACGCAAGTCCTTTTATCCATGAAGAACCTCACATAAATATCATAGTGGCCGTTCTTTCTCCTTTCTACCAATAAAGGTTAAAGGTAGCATTAGGGCCACTAAACATCTAAAAATGCAGTAACAATGGAGATTAGTAAGAATACTTTGCCAATATTATTGCCAAAGAATATTAATAATCTTGAGTACATAACCATGTTAATTGCAGTCATAATTCATTTTCTGCAGCATTGATCTAAGCTTCATTTTCTGGAACTCCTTATAGAAATGAGGAATCCCTTTGGTATCTGTAATCTAGGACAGATGGCTTGGGGCAATTAGTCACCTCTGAGTTCCAAAGTACAATCCGGTGGGCAGCTGGAAAAAAAATCTAGACATCCCCAAGATACATCTGAACTGATTAGGGGCCTTCAGTGAAATATTTTAACTGGCCCACCACCAATCAAGCAAAGTGGCAATATACAGATGCATCAGGGAATATTAACAGTTTTCTGCCGTGGATGGATCAGTGTCCTCAATTTTTATGATAAATCATCAACCAATACCAAAAATTAACAAAACTCTGCAATATCAGTAAGAGAATATGGTAGTATTAAAGGAGACTTAATGCTTTTCTTAGATGACTGCATAGCAAATCTCTGACAAATAAAATACCATCCAGAGGCCATTTCTGTTGAATCTCAGTGGAGAAAGGTATCCATTAGATATCCTGATTGAAGAGCTTGATGGGCTTAATATGTCTAAAATCACCTGGAACTGGTTTGGTAGCATTCCAACTTCAATACAGATCATCTGAACAATTTTAAAGTATTTTTGTTAAGTTGTTCATTTTTCACTAGCTTCAATTTTCAGGTGAACTGCTATTTGTAAATCTAATGTTTTCAGTAACTAGATATTAGCCCACTGTGAGTATGGAGGAAGAGACAAATGACAAAACAAAACAAACAAAAAATACTCACGTTGTCGACACTTCTTCCTGAAGTTGAACATGGTACAATGACTGAGCTGCATGTTCGATCTTTGACAATTTCAGGAACAGTGCCACATTCAGAAAAACCAGTAGAACTAAACTGAAAGAAATCGACTCAAATATCAGTGGGCTAAATTAACTTTTTCTACATATTTGTTTGTTAAACAAACCATAAGCCATGGTAGATGGTATCAGAGGCCTCTGAGAGGTCAAGGAGAATGAGAATGGTTGCACTATTCCCATCCCATTCCCGCCAGAAATTTTCCAGAGGTGCAAACAAGGCTCTCTGGGTCCCATAGCTGGGCCTAAATTCTGACTGAAAGCGGTCCAAGAAATCCCTTTCATCCAGGACTCCTGGAGCTGCCAAGCAACCACCAATTTCATCACCTTTCCCAAAAAGGAAAGATGACAGACTGGATGAAAGTTGTCCAGGCAGGTGGGGTCGAAAGATTTATTTTTTTTTAAGGAGAGGACAAATCAGAGCCTCCTTAAAAGATCCCGGGAATGTCCCCTCTTGCAGTGAGGAATTTATTAGTGCATGAACCCACCTACCAGTCACCCTTCTAGAGGCTCTCACCAGACAGAAGGGATAAGGGTCTGATTGACAAGGGGTTGCATTAAAATTGCAGAGGACTCTGTCTACTTCTTTAGGTCCAACAAGGTCAAACTGTTACCATATTAGTGGGCAAGATATCTCCCTAGGCATCTCATACAGACTTGCACTAGAATCCAAGCAATCTTATCTGAAAGTGTTCAACAAATTCTTCTGCACAGCCCTTAAGATGATTATCTGAGCCCCCCTGGCCTAGGAAGGATTGGGTGATCCACAACAGGGTTGATGGATAATACTCTGCAGATGCAATAGGAGCAGAGAAAAGGTGTTGTTTCAGCACTTTTATCGCCATGCAATAGGTCTTAATAGCAAAACAGCTCTAAGAGTCAGAGTCAACCTTCATTTAGCTGCTGTAAGAAGGGTTAAACCAAAAAAAGTAACAAGCAAGTACTTACAAAATACTCATTCCCACTATGATGGTGATGGTTTTATTTGTAACATTCTTCTTTGTTCCTGTTAAGCAAGGAAAATATCTTTACAACATTCTAATTTTGAAATTCAATTAAACTGATTTTACTAAATCCCTTTACTGAAGATTTGTCTCACCCAAAGCAGAAAAACGGTTCAAGGTTTTGCCTGACCTGGATGCTTTTTGAACATAAGAAGCTAAAAACTTGCTTGACTTAAACTCGAATCTGGTGACTATATGGACAGGCCCGTGATATTTTTTTGTAACAGTACAGAAATGGTTTGTCTCTGTCTTTTTCTATGTTGTGTTTTGTTTTTAAATTTCCTACTCTAGCCTACAGCTTCATATTTTGGTTAGTCTCCCGCCCATAAATTTTTCGGAGCAGCCAAGATCACTAAATGCTGCTACTTAAATTGTCTAAAATTAGAGTTGAAGGGGCAAAGGGAGATGGTACATTAAATTATGCCATATGGATTTCAACACATTCAATTATCTTTTAAAGCAGTTAATACATGGCCAAGTCTCATTCAATCTGCTTTAACCCATATAGCAAGAAAAGCTTCAGTATTCTGGAAAGTAAGTAAAACATCTTTCAATTTGACAAAAAGGTTCATAATTATTTCAGAATTTAAACATGGTGGTACTAGAAAGAAAAATACACACATATCTACATAAATAATATACCAAGTAGTTTATGTCAATTATTCAAAATATAAGGCTTTGTATCCCAACAGCATTTTCCTTGAACTTTATTTACAGTTAGCTGCCCTACACATACTTATATTGAAATATTCTGGATTTTTGCATAGGGACAAGCAAGAAAAGCCTGTATGACACTTGTGCAGAAATACTATGACTTCTAGTACTAAAATGAACAACGCCTTCAGTTTCATAAATTTCTGGAAAAAGAAGTATTTCTACTTGAACTCACCTACATTCCCAAGAGCTATTGTTGTTTTGTCTTCTATAGAATCTTGTATAGAGTGTTTAGGAAGTATCTCTTCTGCATTCCGCTGTAAAATCCATCTTCTTCTTCTTAGGACTTCAAGTTTTGCAAGATCCTCAATAGGTTTGTTTATTGCATATTCTTCCATTAGTAATTCTGATTCTACAAATGACAGAATCAGTTTATAGTTTCTATTTTTTTTATTATTTTAAGCTAACCTTTTGAAACAGTATCCATGTGTGTTGAGATTTCTGTTGCCAGAAATCGTAGCTAAATTTAATGCCAGCTAAGAATTGTGGGAAATTGGTCTGATAACATCTGGTGAGCAAGTGGAAGGAAAGTGTTTTATGACATTTACAGTTAGAATCATGATGTGTTCCATTTTAATTATATTCTATTGAATTGCAGTTGCTATTTGTAAGTCAAGATACTTTTTCCCAATCCCTATTATCTACATATGACTCTGTCATCTCTCTTAAAAGCTGCTTCCATGGCTTAGTAGATTCTCTGGAAAAGAATGGGATAGGCAGGAGTTCGTAGGCAGTGGAACATAGTGTTTGTAGATTGTGAGTAGAGCTGAAGGGGATTAGAAATTTGGGAGACTTGCCCATGCAAGGCCAGATCATTGTGAAAACATGGTCTCACTTTACGTATAAAAAATGACATCCAGCAAGGTTCTATCTTTGCATATATAAGCCATGTCCAGAACACACTGGTATCTATATACACTTCATATTCACCTGCTTCTACACAGAGGATTTTAGAACCTGTACCAATCTTGCATGGGAAATGGGACAGCTGACTGTCAGATCACTGGATATGGAAAGAGAAAAGCTGTGTTTGATGCTCTCTGAACTTAGTTATTTGTTCACAGATGTTTCATTACGTGAGTGATGATGTTACCTAGCTAGATAATGGGCTCTGGAAATAAAGGTTGGTGGGATGAGCTGATTTGCAGAGTATCCTTGGAAGCCCCTGCTTTTTTCTTGCCCTATTCCTTTCAATGATCCAGGATTTCATGAGCCGCGAATTCAAGAAGAATGTTTCTGTCATGGATTAAGATCCCATGTCGGAGAGGAATAAACTATTCTCATGGCTCATTTGTCATGGCAGAAAATGTTGGTACAGTAGTCCCTATTTGCATAATGTACTTAACTGTGGAAACTTATAGTTGCTGCTTTTTTATAGCAGCCCAACTAATGTGGAATATCCTCCCATTTAACTGACGTTAGCCCCTATAGTTCTAGCCTTTCAGAGCGGTTGAAAACCTATGGTGACTTATGATGCCTAGGAAGGATGAGTATGGTCTGAGTTTTATAATTCTATAATTAGATAATTTTAATTTTTTATCTTAGAGATACACATACACATATTTCATTACTCTAAACCACCAAGATTCTGGAGATTGAGGCAGGTTATACATTGAATGAATGAATTTATAAATTCATGCATGGGGAAGGAAGATTTGCATGTGTGGCTTCTTGCAGCCATTTGCTGTTCTCTCTTTCTGCTTCGTGCCCCAGATGACAGATGATTGGACTGGGTGGGCTAACAAAGCTTTTATTTAATATTTTGGCATGCAGGGGTTTCACCCACATGCTCAAGTTTATAAGACATCATCTTCTCAAACTGAAAGGAGTTTGAGGAGATGAACTCTCTGTATGGCACTCCCTGCATTGTTCAGTGTGCAAATGGGCTTGCATACATAAAGCTGGACTGCAGCCAGAGTTCAGTCCTATTTTGTATGGACAAGATGGCAGCAGGACTGGGATCTGGCAAAATTCCAAATTTTTATGTGCTGTGGGGATAAGGAACTATTTGAACCTGAACTGATGGCTGGCCCAAGTTCATGACAAGAATCAGATCTGACTACTTAAATGCAGAAGCAGCACTTTTCACTTTATACTGATAAATGTTACATTCTAGAAAAAAGAAAATGAAGCCAAGATAAGCTTTTCTTTAAAAAACAAAAACCCTAATTACTTGATTTTGATCTTGAGCTTCATATAGAATCAGCCTGAAAATTTCATTATGATGCACATAAACAATACTGGAATACTAATATGATTGTATTTTATTTTTTGCTGTTTTACCTCGGAATTATCATAAACTGGTTCAAGGTTTCTAGGAAAGAAATGGGAAACTGAACATGTCTCCATTAAGACCATGATGGAATAAGAGCTGGTAAATACATCAGCTCTTCCTGATTCCTCTCTGGACAAGGAGAGCATTTGAGATCAATCAAGTGCTCCAAACAGTAACTCCTCACAAGAAGACTGCAAGATTAGTCTACACAGCATGTATAGAGTTCAGAGGAGATGAGGGAATGCCATCTCATCCAAAACATAGTCAGCTTCTTTATGGGTTTGTATACTTCCTTTTCTAATCACTTTTTCTTGAAAGAAATACAAGTTAGATTTAAATAATTCTGTTTTTGGAACAAACTGCAAAAGAAAATTTTAGAACGTTGATTTTGGAAAGTTAAAAATGGATAAATGGTCCAGATGAATTTGAAGTAACATTTTGAAATTAATTATAAAACTTTCACTTGGGAAAATGTTGTTTTAAATTCTTAAAAGAAAAAAATGATAGCTTGGAACTTTGAAGGATGGACACTAGAGGGATCAGAATGAGTAAAAAATTATAATTAAAGAAGAACATTTAAATTTGATGTATTAATACTAAATGGAGCAAAATACTTTCGCATTGCTGTATTGAAGAACATTTGTGAACAATGGATCCAGAAGTTGATTTTAAGAATATCTGTCATTAAAGATAAGCTGTGTTTATGAGATGTTATGGAAGAGGAACTTGTTTTACTGAACAACATTGAGCTGATGACAGGCTAAAGAATATATGATAAAAGATGTTACACTAGATATACAAATGAAACTGTCTGATTACTTCATAATTAAAAGAAATGTACAAATAACAAAACCAAAGGCGTGACTTGAATAGCTTTCCATTTTCAGATTTAGAAAAAAAGACTTGAATTTGAACAATTTTGTGAGAAGGGACAAAGAAAATAATGAAAAGAAATAAATTTCTAGGATATTATTTGAAAGGATAAAAAATCAAAATCGTTAAAAGTAAATTTGTATAGTTTATTTGATCAAGATTAAAATAAATATATGTTATCTCTGGTAACCTTTTATGAATTTTTGCTCATCAGGATTAAAGAATGGGGCTTTAAGGATTTTATATTAAGTAAGAGATGAAATATGGGGATAATTTTTTGTATTTTAAGAGAAGGTGATGCTACTAAAATTGTTTATATATTTCTTTATATATTCTTTTTTCTTTATTAAATTATTTTTTTCTTTCTTTTCTATTGATACTTTATTTTTTTTCTGCATGTAATATTTTAACTTGTAAGCCATAATGATTATTCTTTCTGAAAATAAAAGCAGAATGTAAACAAAGTAAAGAAATAAAATAAGAGACATGCTAGAGTAGACGCCTATCTGAGAATTGAAAGGCAGAGTACGTAGGTCATAAAAAGATACAAATTACTTTAAATTAATTTGGAAAACTAAATACATTGTTCTTTGCATTGTTTCTTTTAAAAATACAGCAGTTCACTTCACTATATCTAAATAGCCAAGCTAATTAAATATAAAAGCCCTGGACACCATTGTCAAGAATGATGGCAAAATACTTACCAAGTTGTTTAAAATTTTCCTGGATACCTCCCCATGTATTCTTCTCAATTATATTCTTGACAAGCCCCCACGGTTGTTTTTTGTATTTCACATCTGAGGAAATCCTATAACAAACAAGAATAAGGCTAGCGACTGATTGGAATACAACTATAGGTAAGGTCAGCATTTTCACCCATTTTGAGAGCACTTTTTCAGGTCCTCAGTTTCAAGTAAGAAGCTGCATACAGAAAACAAAGCATGATCACTAAGGTAACATCTTGAACACAAATGCTGAGAACTGAATGAGGAAATAGAGAAAATACTTAGTTGCTTCACAACTCTCTGTTGTAATGTAACTTTGGATGACAGATGTACACCACGATGTAAAAAAGATGTTGAGACTGTAGAAAGAGTATAGAGAAGAGCAACAAAGATGATTAGGGGACTGGAGGCTAAAACATATAAGGAACAGCTGCTGGAATTGGATATGTCTAGTTTAATGAAGAGAAGGATGAGGGGGGACATGATAGCAGTGTTCCAATATCTCAGGGGCTGCCACAAAGAAGAGGGAGTAAAGCTATTCTCCAAAGCACCTGAAGGCAGGACAAGAAGCAACGGATGGAAATTAATCAAGGAGAGAAGCAATCTAGAACTAAGGAGAAACTTCCTAAAAGTTAGAACAATTAACCAGTGGAACAACCTGCCTCCAGAAGCGGTGAATGCTCCAACACTGGAAGTTTTTAAGAAGAGATTGGACAGCCATTTGTCCGAAATGGTGTAGGGTTTCCTGCCTGAGCAGGGGGTTGGACTCGATGACCTCCAAGGTCCCTTCCAACTTTATTATTATTAGTAGTAGTAGTACACCTACAAAGTTTTAGGGCATAATAGATCATATAGCCAATCTTACTTTTTTGAAAAAAATTCTACTAAAACCTTCGTAGGGAAAGAAGTGAAACTAAAAAAATAGCAAACATTTTTTTTATCAAGAAATCATTTTCCAATCATCCAAGTGTACACATTAAAGTCTGGCATTTCTACACTACCTTGTTCTCCTAAACATATGAAATAAAAACATTGTGAAGAACCAGAATTTTACCAAACTGAGGAAAGCTGTCTTTTATGGTTTCCAATTTTCCTACTTTCATTAAATGAAATGTCTCACCGGAGTCTGCATTTTTGACTGGACATATGAGAGATACTATAACTGCTCACAGTGTAGAAGTAATCGTGGTAAGGTACATTGTGTGTCACCACCTCTGTGTCTACTTGATATGACCGATCTTTGTGGCTTCGTTTATGCAGCATCTATTAAAGAAGCAAAGAATAACTCTTTTTTTAAAAAAATACTGATGTTCAAAAACTGTGATAATTATTACATCACAATAAATATAGAAGCCCTGAAAGACAATATACTTTTAAAATGATCACACTATGTACCGGTAGTTGTGTATATCTTAACATGGCTTTTCTCAATCTATGGTCTTTAGTAGAAATTGGATTTCACTTTCTATAATTCCAAGTCAAAATACTGATCAGAAATTATGGGAATTGTTGCTCAAAGACAGCTGGAGAGAATTAGTCTTGGGGAAAGCAAGTCTAGAATAAGATTAATGATGCCCAACTTTTTCTATTTTTTTCCTGATATGCTGTCATAGATATCTCATCTTTGCAATCTTTTCTCTTAAAGCTTCATCTGCAGCAAAATGTGATGACATGAACAGTGATGGGCTTGCCTCAACATGTCCACATAATGCCTACACTCCACAAACTGTACTGTTTCTAATTTGCTATCAAGTGCAACTCAAGGTGCTGGCTATCACCTATAAAGCTCTAGATAGTATAGGGCCCAGCTTTTTGTATACTATAGTTTCTGCCAGTTCAGTGCAATCTGACGCAATTGAGTTTTATACCTGTTTTTCTGTTGCAGTTGTAAATTTTCCAATAAGTGGATTGTTAAGCATAATTGTGTAAGTCAGGGTCCTGAGTTGATTGCCTCTATTATCTTGGTTCCAAGAAGTTGATACAATATCTAAAGCCAAAAATATAGGTCATTGTTGCTATTCATTTATACAGTATCATTTAAACCATACATTTCCATCCATGCAAGGCAAAGTGAATTAAACTATGAAATTACCATATAACATGTGGCATACAGTAATGAGTTTTAAATAATTAATCCTCAAGTTTATCTTTCTGAAACTGGCTTGAATCATTATGATAAAGAATGAGAATTATGCCCATAAATTAGCGTGGGTCAGGTTTTCTTCTGATTTTTTTTATATGTATATTAAAATAAAATGTTTTTCTATTATATTAAAATAAAATGTATTTATGTACATAAAATATACATGTTTTAACCCCATCAAATTACAGTAGTGGTTAATTCTATATGTGTTGTGTTGAGGCAGGAAAATATACAACAACAAAAGAACAGAAAAGTAAATATGTAACCAAGCAAATAAACAATAAACAAAACAATAAAATAAAATAAAATAAAATAAAATAAAATAAAATAAAATAAAATAAAAAATAAAATAAAATAAACAAAACAAAACAAAACAAAACAAAACAAAATGATGGTGGTATTTTTAACAGCAGCCTAGGATTAATTGCAATGCCCTAAAAGAAACCTACTAATAGGGCTACTGTTCCTGCAACAGTCTATTTTTGTCTATATTAGAAAAAGTTCCTTAAAAAAGCACAAAACTTCTAATTAATTAAAAAAGCATATGAAACATTAATTATAGTAAAAGAATTTTAATTAATTAAAGTAAGATCAATCAGTGCAATAACAATTCTGAATATGTATAGTGGTGTTCTCTGATATCAGCTGAACTGAAAATACAAAATAATGGTGTTAATCATTAGTTGTATGCAAAATGTTTTGAATGAAAAACTGTTTTAACTTGGAATCACCTATTGTTTGGATGTACTTCTGCTTTATCTGCTCAGGTGATCAGCACTCAATTTTATAATTCTTCTATCTTCTATCTACATTATGATAATCTATTGCAGGGGTGTCAAACTGCCAGCCCGCGGGCCGGTTTCATCATACTGAAGCCACGCCCACCCCATTGCCGGCAATGCAAAAAGAGTCACGATACATCGTAACACATCACGTGATGTGGCAAGTTTGACACCCGTGACCTATTGTATCCAGCTACATTTTGTTAATTCAATATAACTTGCAAAAAATATCAAATTGTGATTTCAGATCCATATATTCTGGTTGCCAATAAACTTTAACTTGTGAACATATTTATATTCTGACAGTGACTGTGTTCAGATAATCACTTCCTAACTTAAAAAAAAGTCAAGATATGCATCTTTCTGAACAGGAAAACAAAGCCAACAAAGATACTGCAGTTAAAACCACATTGCATCCAAATATTCAGTTATATCTAAAGCTGAATAGCCTTCTCTAAAGCCAAGATCTGAGCTAAATTTAAACCATAGTTTGTTTCAGAATGATTATTAGTTATTAATAGATTCTCAATTCAGATGTTATCCAGAAGATATAATTGCTTATGGTTTTTTTACTTGCTTGCCCAGTCAAGCAAAGGAAAAAGCAAAAGAAGTAGTATATAGTTGCATGAAACTAGGCAAGATCTACTCATTGAATGCAACCATGGAAAAAAAATGGGTTTGCATTATATTTGAACCCAGCCTTTGTATCAGTTGCTTTTAACACAATATTCATCTTGTTAAAAAGGAAACTAACTTTTTAAACTCTCATTGTAGACAGTACAAATTAAAATAGTTTACCTGTTATATTTCTAGTCCTGAGACATGCCTGCATGAAATGGGAATTAGTGAAAAGCATTTCAAACATCTTCTCTGCACCAATACGGTAAATGTGATTAATAAAGAGTTTTCCATGGAGTTCACGCTTGAGGATGGCTTCCTCAGCTATTGGAGAAGGGTTTAAAACACGGGTTAAGATCTCTGTAACAGTTACGGTACATCAGAAAAAAATATATCCCAAAAGATGAAATTGTCTGCACTACTTAAAGGACAACAAAGGTAGAATTGTGTGAGACAATCTGATTCAAGATATCAAATGTAGGTAATGGCCATAGTAATTACTCTTCCCAGCAACTTTCCTGACAAAAAATCTCTAAATGGAAATCTCCAAGTATATTTTAGAAAACTCCTTAAGCATTTATGGCCCTTTAGAATTAGAATACTTAATGAAAATTTGTCAGTTTTCTTGCCTATAAAGTGTGTAGAATTCTACAAATCTACAGTTATACTTATGAAGGGCTTTAAAAAGCATCCCTTGATGTGGAAGGTAGTGACAGGAGAAAGAAACAAAAACAAAACTTATGAAAGAATAATCAAGGATACTATGAAACATATCTAGAAATAGGGAGGAGGAGGAGGAGGAGGAGGGGGAAGAGGAGATGGAGATTTTATCAGCTAACCAATTAATCTTAATTCATCAATGGACTGGAAAAGAAAGAAAATGGCTAGTAGTAACTGTAACTATGGAAGGAAGATTCTTCATCATAAAAAAAACCAATACCACAACAATGGGATTCAGTTTATAATGTCAGTATGATAATGATTACTGAAATAATAATATAACATAGAGAAATTGAGACGGTAGATTTTTCTATAGTAACAACAAACAATATTGGAAATACTTGCAAAAATAGCTGGTAGAATAATTAATAGCACTGGCCATATGATTAATACAAATGAATATAATTCACAAGTCGTGTATTTTCCCTTTAAGTGCGATGTGTTTATTGCTTTAAGAAGCTCACAAAAATTATATATCCACTGATATTTGCAGAAATGGAGAAATAGAATAACAGAATAACAGAGTTGGAAGATCTTCTAGTCCAACACCCTGCTCAAGCAGAAAACCCTATACCATTTCAGACACATGGGTTGTCCAAATCAGAATTATTTATTAGAATATTGGAATTATTTACTAGAAAAACAAAGCAAATAGTACTGTAGCATGAAATGTCTTATGTTCATTGCAACTTAGTGCTCTTGTCATGGAAAGCTTTAGCATTAGAGAAGATTTCAGTTTGGAACATTATGTGAGCTGTTACTGAAACTTCACTGTCTGTAAATGGGCTTATGGCAGTATCATCCCTATCTGCATCACCATCATTATATGTTGAACAGTGCCTCTCATCCATGGCTATAACAAAGGTTTCACCGATACTATAATTGTGGTTGGCCTTGGAGTAGCCAGGGATACTGTGAGGACAATTGATGCTATGTCTGCAGCAACTTTCTTTCTAATATATTGTGCAGATAACATAATGACATCACGTTGATGCAAAAGATAAAATAGCAGTCATTGGCAGAGTATGATCTCTGAGTGGTGAAGCATCAGGCTAGAAGCCAGGAGACTGTGAGTTCTAGTCCTGCCTTGGGCATGAAAGCCCAAGGCAGATGATTTTGGACTAGTCATTCTCTCTCAGCCTATATTCAGTGCACAGGGTTGTTGTGGGGAAAATAGAGGAAGGAAGGAGTACTGTGCGTGTTTATCCTTCAGTTATTTATTTAGCTATTTATTTGATTAGTTATATCCCACCTATCAACACATCTTCCTCCTATTTATAAAAATAATAAAGGCGGGATATAAATAAATCTTTTTAATGATCCTTAGACAATATTTCCACATTCTTGTTTGTACAGAAGCTCTCCAAACTGACCCTATTGTCCCTTTCTTTCAAACTTGATGCTAATAAACTATTGAAGGAGAAACAGGATGAACAGTTTACTGTACAGTGTCCTCCAACCTTACACTATCAACTCAAGGTCTTTAGGATCTATTGCCTAAGGCAGAGGTAGGCAAGCTTGGCTCTTTTATGACTCGTGGACTTCAACTGCCAGAATTCCTGAGCCAGCTGTGCTGGCTCAGGAATTCTGGGAGTTGAAGTCCATGAGTCATAAAAGAGCCAAGTTTGCCTACCCCTGGCCTAAGGCAACCACAACATTAAGCCATTTTCTATCAGTTTTACTAGCTGTAAGATGAGCAAGAGCAGATTCCATAGATAAGATGATTTATGTTTTCTTTGGTTGCTGTAATTTGTACTGTATGGAACATTAAGACTGGAACATTATTTACCGTCTTCATCGCTTTCAGAGGCACTGCTCTTCTCCTTAGGAAAATTCTCATTTACATCCAAGGATTGTACTGAAACTTTTTGTGGTACAACATCAGAAAGCTTCCTTTCTAAAGGAATCAAAGAATTTCTCTTGTCTTGTTTATCATAACGACATTCCTCTGGTTCAGCAACCTAATAAAATAGAAAGCCATTTTATTTAAGTAACATGACAACTGACAATCCCAGTTTTCCAAAAAGAAAATACAAAAAGCTTCTAAAAGCTTCTAAAACCACTTACAAACTCCTGAAAATACACATATCTATACATATTTCAAATGTAGATAGTCCTCAACTTATGACCACAATTGAGCCCAATGTTTATGTTGCTAAACATTTGTTAAATGAGGTTTGCTCCATTTTACAACCTTTCCTGTCACAGTTGTTAAGTGAATCAGTGCAGTTGTTCAGTTAGTAACACGGTTGTTAAGTGAATCTGGCTTTCCCATTGACTTTGCTTGTCAGAAGGTTGCAGAAGATGATCACATGAGCCCAGGACACTGCAACTGACATAAATATGAGTCTGTTGCCAAGTGGCCAAATTTTGATCACATGACCATGGGAATGCTGCAATGGTTTTTAAGTGTGAAAAATTGTCATAAGCCTTTTCTGAGTGCCATTGTAACTTAAAACTGTTGTATGTTGAGGACTACCTATACACATAATTCATTAAAGGACTTGAATAAATGTGTTTCCAGAACTATGAATACTACAAAACTCTATGCTATTTCCATGACACTGAAATCAAAGTTTCACAGTAACTACTTCTGAAGTACAGTTATTCCCAGTCTTTATCTAACCATCCAGATACAGTATGCAAAAAAACCACAACAAAAACCAAACAAAAAAGACCTCTAAATGAAAATCATAAGCCTGTTTCTACCATGTCATTTGTAGCTTTCTGAATGACATGACTGCTAATAGTTTGGCTGGTGAAAATGAATTATGATCCAATAAGATCCCATTTCAGATTTTGTAATGACAGACAACGTTCAGATATTCAACTTGATTCTATTTTGCCATATTTATAGTATGGTGAGATGGAAGACAAACAAATTTAATAAAAAATAAAATCTTTAATTTATAACAGGGATATTATATTATTGTCTTAGTTGCACAAATTATGTAAATTTTATATCGGGTATACTCAAAGTCAGGCGCATAAGCTAATCACAATACGTCTTACTATTTTTCAGAAAAAAGGTATAGCTGTACTTAGAAATGCTAGAAGTTCACGTATCAAATGAATAAAGAAGTAAATGAGTAAAAATGACAAACAATTCAAACAGTTAATATACGTTGTATAATATTATACATGGGGCCTGACATTTGGTATACTATGCCATATATAGAGATTTGTGGTTGTGTGTGTGTGTATTTTAGCAGTATCAAATGCCAAGAAAAAAGCACTTGATATTCCCATTGGAGTGAAAGTATAACAATATAATAAGTAATAACAGGATTTTGTTATATATGACAATATTTTAAAATCTGTTAAAATCTAAATTTCTAATTATATACAAATTATCATTATGCTATAATGCTACATATTTTCAGTATATCCACAATAATAAGAATTTTAGTCTACAAGAACATGATAATAATTCACTGCTTGCTTGATTTCCATTTCTCATTTGATTTTGTAGGTCACTTTTTAAAAATTCACTGAATAATAGCAAGTATGTTATGTAAGATTAGAATTCATTTCAAACAGAAAATAATGGCCATAAGTAACTTGCTATCAGAAAAGGTAACAATAAAGAATATAGTAACAAAAATGTTTTAGGAAGTACAGCGTGTGCTATTAAATCAGGAGGACTTATTTTTGAACCAGCAAGGAATTCATTGAATTACTTTCAGTCTAGAAATCAATTTATTTTATTTATTAAATTTGTATACAGCCCAATTCACTAATACAGTAACTGGATGGCTTACAATATAATAAAAAGTTTTAAAGTGCTGAAAACAATTAAAATTAGAATAAAAATATTTAAAGTAAAGAACCAAGATGATGGGCAGTCTGGAGATGAGAATCTTCTCCATCTCATCAGCCATCCCCAATGTATAGGCCCTGTCAGCCTGCAAGCCAACCAGCAGAGCAAAATTTTTAGATCCTTCCAGAAGGCCAGGAATATGGGTGTGGATCTCACTTGTGATGGGAGAATATTCCAGAGGATGGAGGCCATAGCAACTATGTTATCATAGTTTGGATATAGCTTATAACACATTTCATTTAACCAAACTGATTTCTCAAAGAATGAGAAATCTATAAGTAGCGGATAGAAGGCAATATGTGTTTTTGTAAATATGTAGCTTGCCTTGCATTAAATTATTTGAGTATATTTTTTATATTCAGTTATGATAAGTTCTAAATATTCTACACAAGTTAAAATATTGCATCCAAGTTTAAACTATGGTGTTTAAACAATATATATTCATATGCAAGAATATAAACAAGTTAATAAAGTAAATAATGCATTTATAGTGAAAAGGAATGTTTTAAAAGCTTACTTCTGAAAGTGAATTTCCAGTAAGAAATTCTGTCTCATCTTCAGTCTGAGCAGTGGATTCTTGAACTAGACCAACAGCTTTAGCTGGTTCCTTATCTCCAGATTCATCACTAAGGTTAGATCTATACAAAAATAGAAACAGTGTTACTTCGTATTTATTCTAAAACCATTTGTTAATACAGTGTTATATTGGATTTAAAGCATAGATTGGAAAAAAATCTGCCTTAAAATATTCAATCATTCTACCATCAAATGATGTCTTTATCTTAGAGATATCATTTTACAGAACTTGTCAAAAAGTAGTACCATTGTGTTATATAAAGATGAATACTGCTATTTTGTTGTATGAATGAGGAAAAAAATCCCTTTGCTTATCTATAGTTTTATTTTCCCAAACATCTTCTGTATAATTACTCACAGCTAAGATGACTGTTGGGTTTATATGACCATCTCTGAAAAGATTCTGTAAAATGAATCTTCTGTATATAACTGAACATTTTGCATATTAAAAAACATTTAAATACTACTGCTTCATTATATAGTGATACCAAAGATAAAAAGTTTTCACCAACCTGGATAACAAGAATTAATACATAACATATCCCTGACAGAATAATTATACCAAGTTTATATCAATAGATGGTCCTAGCAACAAAACACAATCTGCAAAAAAGCAAAAATCACAGTAACAGTGTGGCAATCTATAGTATTTCCTTACCTTAATTGTCCATTCTCTTCAGATGATGCATAAATGTTTTCCATCTCTTCTATATTCAAGCCAAGCTCAGAGCCATAGCTCTGGTGTACAAGCTGCCAGAATTCCTGTTTGGTTAATTTCTGAGAAACAGAAAAAAAATGTACACTAAGAACAATGGCAAGTTGTTTACAAATTAATTATTGATTATTATCTAAGTCAAATCATTCTAACAATCTAAAAGGACTGTTTCATAACAGCATTCAATAAACCCAGTATTAGCATACACAGACAGCTTGTTTTGGGGCTGCCATAACTATTCGTTTTTGCCATCCCAACAGTCTTACACCCTCCCATCCAATTCCTGAAATAACACCCCAAGACATTTTAACTATTGAGAACAGCTGCAACTTCTTAACTCATGTTAGTTGTACAAGGCCACATTAAGTCAGCTGTCTTTGGTTAGAAGCTTCTCTCCTCAAATGTTAAAGAGGCCCTGATCAAAGAACTGCAGCAAAATAGCAAGTGAAGCAGAATGATGTAGACTTAAGAGCAATGTCTTTTCTAAATCAGCAATTTCAGAATATTCTATTGTTATCCTAACCACTACTAGATTGTTTTCCTCTGCCTATCTTGTCAGGAGAACATCTGGTCTCGTGCTGCAGAATAAGACAGGACATGTATTTGACCTTCTATAATGCTACATTTATACCAAATTATCTTTCAGTAGTCTTGTCTTAAGATTAAACATATCCAGCTACTTAAGTCTCTTTTCCAATACAGCACTTCATTTTATCTTTAACCACCTTCATTGCTGTAATGTTGGAATGACCTTAGGAGACTTGGAGAAGATATGCAGCCAAACAAATGGTCAGATAAAAGGCAACTTAGCCCAGAACAGGAATGGGATGGGGCAAGCAGCTCAGAAGGACCCCTAGTTTTGGGGGGTATAAAGAAGATGTGAGGAAGGCACATGTTATTTCAAATTTTGCAAGTTTCTGTTAATAAAACCTTACAATAAAGTAGACTTAGCTCATCTTGTCATGTTTCCTATCTGGTTTGCCTCTAAAGATGATTGCCTTTCTCTGAACCCATTCTAATTTCTCTGACTTCTTCTAAAAACATACTAAGCAGAACTAGAATTTGAGCTCAAAGTTCGGGCTAACCAAAGTACAATAAATATTATGACACTTTTGACTCATTTTATCTTTATAATGTACTATTGTTCCAACTTTTTCCCAATTACCAATATAAGCCAGTTTTATATGTAACATGTGCTATATGTGTGTTTTTCATTTTAGCTTCCTACATGAAGAATTTTGCACTTGCTTCTGTTAAATATCCTTCAGTTACTTTCAGGCTATTTCGCTAACTAATGAAAGTTTTGAATGTTATTGTTCTTTTCTAGGATAGTTATCCCAGTTTCGTTCTTGTAAAAAACTGATAAGGATTCCCTCCATTTCTTCATCCAAGCCATTAATAAAAATAGATGTTTAGAGGGCCCAGAACTAATCCTTGGGGACGCACACTCAAAAATCTCTCTCAAATTTAATGAGGAATTATTGATGAGTGATATTGAGCTATTAATTAGTACCCTAATTAATACTGACTATGCCATGAATGCTAATAGTTTATACGAGTTAAGATCTATTTGAAGACACATATAGTTAGCAAATGTTTAGCATGGATGCTCTTTATTATTCCCAAGGCTTATCATATGTTTTTATGATTGTAACATAATCCTACTATCAGTCATAAAATAATGAAAGCAGAGCAAACAAGCCATAAAAATGACATGTAAGCAAAAATGCAATTTACACAGTACTACACTAAGCCATCTTAGTAGAATTAACTAGGAATTTTTACAATAAATGCTAATACAGTGGAACTCATTATCTGCAGGTTTTGAGTATCCATGGTTAAAAAACAAAGACTCAAATAAATTGTCTATAGTAAATGGTTTAGGTATATGCATTTTTAGGTTTGCAGTTTTGTTTCATCCATCATTTGGCACATTCACAGAATTCTCCTTAGATTTCCTGGTAATCCTACCAAACTGCTACATTCTGATGTTATATTGTCATTCTCTTTCTGCAAGTTACTTCCCCACAGTGAAAATGAGCAATGCACAGGGGAGAACTCTGCTGAGTAAAGTAGCATATGATCACAGAAAATATTGCCATTTATCAACAAGATTAAGCAGATGATTTTTCCATAATTATGGAATTTAAACCACCAATTAGCTTAGGCTCAAACTCCTGTTATCTGCAGTTGCACTATACATGATTGCATGGGGCTGCATTGTATGCTGAAGCAAAAACATGCACAATTAGTAGGATCCACTTATAGTTATGCAATAATTACATTATTACACAGACATTCAACAACCATTTGTCTGAAATGTTATGGGGTTTCCTGCCTAAGCAAGGGGTTGGACTAAAAGATCTCCAAAGCCCCTTTCAACTCTGTTATTCTGTTATTTTCCTGAGATGTAAAAACTGTCCTTCAGCCTCGGAATACAAAAGTCATCAGAAATTGTGATAAAGATACTCTTGTATGCAATAGTTAACAGTCTAATATAGAGAGATACTAAGCAGGACAAATAGGGACCACTTTAAAAAAAATGTATATTGGCCTTCCCATTATAGATGAAAAGTAGAAGAGGAATTTTCCAAGGCGCCTGAAGGCAGGACAAGAAGCAACGGGTGGAAACTAAGCAAGGAGAGAAGCAACCTAGAACTAAGGAGAAACTTCCTGACAGTTAGAACAATTAATCAGTGGAACAACCTGCCTCCAGAAGCAGTGAATGCTCCAACACTGGAGGTTTTTAAGAAGAGACTGGACAACCATTTGTCCGAAATGGTATAGGGTTTCCTGCCTGAGCAGGGGGTTGGACTAGATGACCTCCAAGGTCCCTTCCAACTTTACTATTATCATTATTATTATATAAGAAATAAAGAGAATATAAAGTATTTATTCTCTTCTGAATGAAAAGAGAAGCAGAAATACATAAAGTTGAGACTCTACTCAAATTTTGCTGAGCATGCAACAAATAAAGACTCATTTGAATGCAGGTGGAACAGATTTATTCTTGTGATGTGCTACAATCTTCACCACCCTTGGTGCTCCCTCGATATGATGGCTTATTTTGTCATGGTTGAAGGCAGCTATCTTTGCTTTGTTCCCACAATGCAAATAGTGTGGCTTTTGTTGCCACCTTGCAATACCACACTTACTGAAAATGGTTTAGTTTTGACTAAGCATGATGTAGGAAACAAACTATTGCCATAAAGCATGTTTTTAAGTTAGAATTACACATGATTCAGGACAATATGGCTCAATAAACCACAGTAAAACCTAACAGTAGCTTAGTGTATTAAATGAACCCAGTAGCGACACTGCTATTATTCTGCGAAGATACCATATAATTAATGCATGACATTCAAGAAGGAGGATGTGATATACCCAGTCATTCCATAACTTTTTCTATTTTCTTAATTGCCAACAACAAGCATTTCAAGCAGAGATCTCTCATTTATATTTGGAGATGTTAAGAATTGAATCTAGAGCTTTCTGCATTCTAAGCATATATCTACTATTAGGTTATGGTCATCTTTTAATGATACCCAGTCACTCCATAACTTTTTCTATTTTCTTAATTGCCAACAACAAGCATTTCAAGCAGAGATCTCTCATTTATATTTGGAGATATTAAGAATTGAATCTAGAGCTTTCTGCATTCTAAGCATATATCTACTATTAGGTTATGGTCATTCTTTTAATGATTCCCTTTAATAATGCAAAGAAGCAGTATCAGTGCTTGCTCAAAGGCAACCCATACCATCATGACAATTCTACACATTGAAACACTATGGCTATGTTCATACAACTTGCTTATCTAAATTATTTACCTAATCACTTTCTGGATTTGCACAATCACTAAACCAAAAACTTATTAAATGTCCATAAAAACAAAATTAAAAGTAACCGTAATTAATATACAAATGTAGCTATGTTAGCAGTGTTGGTTAAACTCGATTAAGCCATGCAAATATTTTTCTTCAACTCAAATAACAATGATATTCTTTCTAACTTAAGAATAAGAAAATCTAACTCTATAAAAAAAAATCTATTGAGTCTAAAGAGACTATGGATTTAAGAGCAACAAGTTTCTCATGTAAGCCTGAAATCCTTCTTTCCTTCCACATTCATTTACCTGCAGTCGTCTGCATGAAAAGAGATCAGATTCATAGATTTGCAATACCAAAGTACAGTGAACTTCATAGTGACACTCAGGAAACTGGACACATCATCAGAACAAAGTTAACAGAAGCAACATCAGGGTTGAAGCAACTTTCCGTCACTGAAAATCAGCACTTCCTGAAGTGTCATAATTCTTCCTCCTCAAGCCATTTAACTAACAAAGCAAACTAGAAGCCGGCAAGGTAGGTAAAATTTAATATAAGCTTACCTTGCCTGCACAGAAGTATCTATCAAATAGTGGCAAAATTTACAGAGGCCCCATTTAAAAAGACTCAAAACAAAATTCCACTTTGAGAGAAAAATGTTGCATTTATACAAATTCTACTCCTGGCACTCGGAAAGCTGTGAAAAAGTGGGCAGGTCTGATTTTAGTTCTTAAGTTGTTCCTTGTACCAGCCCAGTTTCAGCTCCTCCCATCAAGGAAACAAATCAACAGTCTGTGAAGCACACAGGTTAAAATTTCTAAAGATCTATCAACTGAGGCTTTTTTTTCCTGTCTCTTGCACAGGTTTCTGGAATATACATAAGACTGAACAGATTCAGAGGGAAATTTCTCTTTTGCTCCTCTCCTAAGAACTGCATTAAGTTATTACAGCATCTCCTGGGAGCGATTTTAAAGCTGCTTGTGTGCTAATGTTGCTGAAAATTCCACTCAAAACTGGTCAAGCTGTACTTCACTGCAAGAGAAGAATTCAATCTACATTCCTAGGTATAGCCTCATCAGATTTCTCTTTAAGCCTTTTGCTAAGATGCACATAGATACCAGCTTGGTAAGCTGTCCCACGCCTCTGGAGAAAGAAACACCTTGAGTTTTCCCCTGAAGGTGATCAGCAGTAATAAGATGCCATTTGATGTATCTGTCCCCCACCTTCCCATTTTCTTCCTGGATTGATGCATATTGTTGGCTGTTTATTTTTCATTGTTTTAAATGTGTGTTTATATTCTACGTTTGATAACATTTGCTTCAGAAGTATTTTCTTTCAGAAAACTGCTAAGTCTGAAATTTTGTGCAGATCATTTAACAGAATAACAGAGTTGGAAGGAACCTTGTATGTCTTTGAGTCCAACCCCCTGCCCAAGCAGGAGACCCTATACCATTCCAGACAAATGGCTGTCCAATCTCTTCTTAAAAACCTCCAGTGATGGAGCACCCACAGCTTCTGAAGGCAAGTCATTCCACTGACTAATTGTTCTCACTGTTAGGAAATTTCTCCTTAGTTCTAAGTTGGATCTGTCCTTGATAAGTTTCCATCTGTTACTTCTTGTCCTGCCCTCAGGTGTTATGGAGAATTGGTTGACCCCCTCTTCCCTTGACAGTTCCTCAAATACTGGAACATTGCTATTATGTCATCCCTAATCTTTCTTTTCACTAGACCAGACATACCCATCACCTATAATTGATCTTCATATGTTTTAGTCTCCAGCCCCCTAAGCATCTTTGTTGCTCTTCTTTGCCCTCTTTCTACCATCTCAACATCTTTATTGTATTGTGGTGACCAAAATGGATGCAGTATTCCAAGTGTGGTTTTGCCAAAGTAGTATAAAGCAATGCTAACACTTCATATGACCTTATGATTCCTTTGTTGATGCACCCTAGGACCACATTGGCTTAGGGTTTTTTTAGTTAGTTTTAGTGAAAGGTAGTTAGTTTCACTGTTAGAAATCTTTGTGGGAAGAATGTATGTGTTTGCAAGCAAGATTGTTATAAATCTGCACACCTTAAAGGATTATTAATTATCTGGAAACATCTGACCCTGAAATCTATTGAATTTTTTCTTTTCCTATTTTTTTCAACTATGAAAATCTTAGAATATAACAAAATATTATAGATTGGGAGTATACAATACCACAAAGAGTTCTTAATTATCTATCCAATTCCATCTAAGTACTAACTTCCTTATTATGTAACCTATTGTTTTCCAAATATAACCAACCACTATAATAATGACCTTTTTTTTTTTTAAAAAAAAAAGGCTGCATTACTGTCTTTTAGAATTCGAGTGCATTAAATGCATAAAGCATTTCAAATTCTAGGGTTAGGGTTAGGGTTAGGGTTCACAAACAAGATATATGTATATTTCTCAGTGACCCCTAGGATATGTCCAAATAACCCCTTTGGAGATAATTTCCCACTTCCCTAGTTTTAAGAACCACTAAGGTAGGAGATAATGTTTTTGAAGTCTTTTCTGAATTGGGAAAACCCTGCACACATAAAGGTTTATTCAGGGAAGGTACATTGACATTATTTTACTAGTATATAGTTTTTATATCAGCAATCTTTCAAACTTGTGATCGTCTATACACAGAATACCATCTGAAAAATGCAAATTACCATTTTGTTTCCCTCCAACATTTGGATCTCAAAATGTGTTACAGGTAGTCCTTGACCCACAACTACAATTGAGCCCAAAATATCTGTTGCTAAGTGAGACAGTTGTTAAGTGAGTTTTACCTCATATTACAACCTTTCTTGCCACAGTTGTTAAGTGAATCACTGCAGTTGTTATGTTAGTAACACAGTTGCTAAATGAATTTGACTTCCCCACTGACTTTGCTTCTCAGAAGGTCACAAAAGTTGATCACATGATCTCAGGATACTGCAACCATAAATAGTCATAAATACGAACTAGTTGTCAAACATCTGAATTTTGATCACATGAAACACGGAGATGCAGCAAGGGTATTAAGGTTGAGAAACAGTCATACATTTTTCTGTGCCATTGTAACTTTGAATGGTCACTAAATGAACTGTTATAAGTCAAGGACTACCCATACTTAATTGCAATTGTTAATATGACAGAAGAGGAATGTTATTAAAACATAATAAAAGTAACTATAGTAATTATATTTAACTTTAATTACAGGTACATATAAATACATTTTGGGTTTTGATCTGGCCCCATCCATTACTTTTGAAGTTCTGTCTCACCTAACCCAGAATAAGCTCTTCACTCTTAGGTTGAAATAATACATCTGATAGAAACAAGGCCATGCAATATTTCTGAATTTGGATCAGGTGAAAATTTAGCATAAAGATGCAAGCAGAGAAGGATAGAAAGCTGCTTGTTTTTGATGAGTGATTCTGGAATTTCTCCAGCTAAAACCATTCTAAATCAGCCTAAAATTATCTACGTAAAAGTGATTAAAATCTATATCAATCCATGATAAAGGGCAGATGATAGATATAAACACATAGAAAAACATACAAATTAGCTATCTTATGCTTTCCTTTTTCTTGAACATACTGTAGGTTATTCCTTGCAGAACCCAGTCAAATTGTCAAATCAAGATAAGGTTCAAAATTTTCACATGGTACTAAAACACATTATACATTGAAGCCAGGAAAATTCTCAAACAGATGTCCATTTTTTAAAAAATAAACTTCATTTGCCCTTATTTTGTCAGATGTTAATTTGTGAATAAATAAATAAATAAAATGTGGAAATTTAAATTTAAAGAAAGATTTTAACTTTGGGAGTTATATCTAACTCAAAATATTTTTTAAATAAATACTCAGGCCAATTTCATTTATTTATAAAGTACATCAAGTCTACTACCCCTGCCATCCAATGTTTATCCGTAGATTATAGAGCTTCAATTTTAAAATAATTATTATGTAACAAAAAAAATCTTACATCAAAAGCTGTGAAATATCAGTACAAATTACCAATGTATAAATACAAATGGTAAGGCAACAGTTTCAAAGATATCTGACTGGTACTGTTTTACTGATATTGGTACTGTTTCATTACAGCATTCAAAATAAGTCAGGACCTCAGATATTTCACAGCTATGTAAAAACTTACCTTCTCCAACAATGCATTTTGCCATAATCGAAATATATTGAGGTAGGTTCTGTCTCTGGCACTGAAGGAAGTGAAGAAAAACTGCAAAACAAAATGGTAATTTGCATGAAAAATATTAAAAGTAATCTACAAATCAGTCAACCCTATTTCAAATAAAAAGATATTAAATCAGAGTCAATGGATTTTTAGAAGTCTCTAAGAAGGACTAAATTATACAGTGTTCAGCCGTTTACAATCCTATACATATTTACTTATATAAAAGTTTCATTAAGTTCAGTCAGGTTTACTATTATTTATTCTATCTGGTTTTTTGCCTTTCTGGTTACAGGGTATTTACTCCCAAGCAAATGGATATACTCCAAATGTATATTTACACTATCATAAAAGTAAGTCTCAATAAACGTAGTAGGTTCATCAGATATAAATGGTATATAGTCAAGTTCTAACATGATTTGCAAATTATTACTATTATTATTATTATTATCCAATTTATTTGAGGGCCACCTCACAGCAAAACTAAATAATAGTATTTAAAAATTCATAACTTTCCTTTCCAAGTGCAACATAATAAAGCATTTTTTGGCTCTTACATGCACATGCCCATTCACATGTTCTAAAAGCCTAGATGCATTCCTGATTGATAGAGGAAGAGCCTCAATGCAAAGTAAGCATTCATACCTTCTCAAATATTACTTTATCCTTCCTCCTCCTACTTTCCCCAAAGCAACAATCCCCTTAGATGGGTTGGGCTGAGAGAGTGACTGGCCCAACTGACTTTCATGCCTAAGTCAGGACTCGAATTCAGTATCCTGCTTTCTTAACAGCATCTTAACCGCACACCAAACTGGTTTTGTTTAGTTTAGTTTTGGACAGTTTCTCCAGCCCCCTAGACATATAGACTAGAACATCCTTCATCAGGCACATAGTACAGGTAGTCCTCGACGTACAGCAGTTCATTTAGTGACCGTTCAAAGTTACAATGGCACTGAATAAAGTTACTTAAGACTATTTTTCACATTTATGACTGTTGCAGCATCCCCATAGTCACATGATCAAAATTCAGATGCTTGGCAACTAACTTACATTTATGACATGATCTTTCCTGCAGAATCAACTGCAGTGATTCACTTAACAACTGTGGCAAGAAAGGTGGTAAAATGGAGCAAAATTCACTTAACAGCTGTCTCACTTAGCAACAGAAATGTTGGGCTCAGTTGTGGTGATAAGTTGAGGACTACCTGTAATGGCCATGTCAAATTAGAGTAATGGGAACTGAAGACCTATAACTTTGGAGAGCATGGTGAAAAAAAGATAATTTGGTGTTGTGGTTAAGTCACCAGGCTAGAACCCGGGACACCATGATTCTAGTTCTGCCTTAGGCACAAAGACAGCTGGGTTACCTTGGGCCAGTCACTCTCTCTCAGCCCAAAGAAGGAGACAATAGCAAGCTACTTCTGAAAATGTTGCAAGAAAACTTCACTGACTAGTCTAGGGAGTCACCAGGAATCAACATTGACTCAAAGGCATATGCACACACACCCTCACAGGGAAAGCTAACTAACAAGAAAGACTGGCTTTTGTCTGTTGGAGGGAGGGAGGGAGGGAGGAAGGGAGGAAGGAAGGAAGGAAGGAAGGAAGGAAGGAAGGAAGGAAGGAAGGAAGGAAGGAAGGAAGGAAGGAAGGAAGGAAGGAAGGAAGGAAGGAAATTGGCTGCCTCAAGAAATGTCTCCATTAAATAGAGATACAAGTAAGAATATTGTACCTTCTCCCCTTCTGTAGCAATTTGGATAGCATTTGGAATAAGCCGAGCCGTCTTCTCTTTTGTCATGAAGGTTATGTCCTTCAGAGCGATAGAAATCTGAAGTTTGAAATACACATAAAACAAGCCACTTAAAAGCTAACGCTGAAACAACATATAAAATGAATATAATTAAAGCAATAGTTTCCACATGATTTCATTTAATTTAGCATTACTACTCATATCAAAACCCTTCCTTTAAAAAAATTGGAAGAGTTAGAAACAACCTAAACATATTGGGTTTCTTTATGGGTTTCCTTATGAAAATCATACAAACTAATATAGAAATCTTATCATAAAAATGAACACTTAAAATTCTTAGCGTGAAAATATACTCTCTGTGCCAATACTGTCTGTACATGTGTATGAATGTATGTAGGTATTTATGTGTACATAGAGATATATGCAATGTATTTTGGATACACACATTTCTTAAAGCAAACATGCCTTACCATAGTCTCCCATCTGAAGATGTTGCTGTAGAAACAGATCCAGTTTTCAGACAGATATAAGCGTCCTTGAAGGAGGATATCTTTTTGGAGGGCACAGGCATAATCTAAAGAAAAGTATTATATTTTTATAACATTTTAAAAGTGTAGCCAAATGCTTAATTAAGTTCCTCAATAATTATTTTTATTCATTATTTATTTGTTGACTATTTTGTTAAATGATAAAACCATTCCTACATTGCCTGTGTGCACCTTTTTTTGAACAGCTTCAAATACAGATCCCTGATCTTTACATGCATCTTAAAACATACCTTGATGTTAGCTTAAAGTCAAGATTGCCTAGAGGCAAAACTAATCTTGAATGGAGAGCCTATTATGGGTGTGAACTCATTGGACATTATTATAATGTGCAATCTTCTCTCTCATAACTAAGTTCAAGAGAAACTAGATTTTTTTTTAACAGCAAATGGTGGGTGTGTACTATAATTGACACTAATGATTCCAAAAAGATGACTTCACTTAAACTTCTCACTCTTTCCTAAGTAAGTTTGTTAAATGATTTGATTTTCTCACCTTCTATCAGCTATGGCATTCTTAGACATGTGAGTCTAAATTATTATCAAAAGCAATAAACTAAGCTTTAGAGTTAAATTACCCCTCAAGAAAGCTCCGTAATTTTAACAATTATATTAATTTCAAGAACCTTTTCTCAGCTATATTAGAAAATACTATAAATATTAAGTAAAAGAGTTTTTAATTACAACTTTCAGCTTCTAAATCCTTGCTGTGTTATTGTTTGGGAAAATTAGTACTGTGAAACATGATTCAAAGGATAAAGCCAAAGGATTAAAAATACATGGAATAAGACAAAGATGCACACCTGCTTGCATAATTTAATTACAGTATTTGTAGGAAATGGTTACAGATGTACTGGCTAGGAACATGAGTGTGTGCATACTTTGGGATGCAAAAATATCATGTTGATTGAGATTTGGAATGATTTGCAGTCTGTGATTATATCATGTAGTTAGGAATATAAATCTATCGAAGACCAAAATAGTTGTGTTTGACAGGGAAATGGAATGGGTAACTGCAAATTATATACAAATGGTGAAAAACTAAGCAAGTAGACAAATGCATGTTTCTGGGAATATTTATTAAAGATGGAGAAATACAAATGCTGGTAGAAACAGCATTAAGGAAAATTAATGGCCTATGTTGCTGGGAATGTAATGGGAATGAGTTGCTGTGTAAAAGACTCAAGAATGAATTTGCCCTGAAAGAAGGTGGGTTGAATACAAAAGTGAGTAAACCATGTGAAAATAAATAGTTTAGTCACAGAGAAAATGAATGCGAGTCAAATTATGAAACAAACACATGAAAGAAAAATTATATACAAGGTCAAGATAAAGGGAAAGATTTGGAAACTCATGATTGGATGGTGTTGAAAAAGAAAGATCAGCATCTTAAAGAAAAGATAGGAAGGAAAGTATAGATATGGTGGTTTTCAAGAATGGAAAGATACGGAGAATATAAGAACAGTGTTGGTATAAATTAGATATATTCCTTCTTTTTTCTTATCTCATATCTTTAATTTGTTTGGTTACTATCTCTTATTTGTTTTGTACATGTTGCACAATGTCTTTAACCCAAAAGGGAACAGCATGATGAAAATGTGTGTGTGTGTGTATCTTTTGCACTAGATGGAATCTGTGTTTGGCTTCCACATTTTAAAAGTTCTAAAGTGGCATGTTAACCCATCTGTGTAAGTATTGCTAGTTAAAAAATATCAGCTATAAAAGAAAATTTTCTGCCATTATATTTGACATAGTTACTGTTATGAATAAAACAGGACATCAAACCTATTGTGAGTTTTAAGATACAGAGTCAGGGTTTTAACAAATTGTGGATCCAGAATCATAAACCCTGTCTCCTTTTACCTGGGAGCTACATAGGTTTCATATTCTTTCTGTGCTATATTGTCTCTATCAAAAAAGAAATTACTTCTGACCATTACACAAGTGTTAAGAGGAAGGACTGACTTCAGGGAATCCTAAATTTTTCTTATTGTTTCTAAAATGGCTACAGCTCTTTTTGTTCTTGAAAAACTTAAAAACACGAAAATAAATACTTACAAGTCCTTAGGAATTTCAGAGTATATTTCTCTCTTTTTTTAAAAAAAAAATCACCTGTAATAACCTCAGACTCTGCATTACATGTTAAATGGCTGATGAGTATGGTTGTGAAACTAACCCAGATTCACAACAATCCTGACTGTCATCTGTATGTCTGGCAGATTACATGCATTCTCAAAACACATTCACTTACCTCAAATATAGAATCTACATCATCAGAAGGAAGAGTGATATGCTTTGAATCATGTTTAAAGTCAGATTAAATGAGCCTTTTTAACAAAAAGGAATTCAAGTTGTTGAGGCCTGTTTTTGTTTTAAAAGCAAGAGAAACTCTGAACCCAAGGCTGAACATCCTGGAATTCAACATTTCTCCACAGCTTTGAAATTAGCTGATTGGCATTTCTAATGGAGGAAGAGAAATCCAGATACAGTAGAACCAGAAATATAACTGTTTCAAGAGTTATTTTTAAAGAAATATAGAAAGATTTGGTTAGGAATCTGCAATTAGTCATTTGATTTATTTTGATGTATCCACATTAGTTAACCTTTTATTGACTTTTGTCTTCCTATCTCTGCATAAATTGGGAAATAGAATACAGAGCATTATATTTTGAATTATGTTAATGAATATAGATTTACTGACTTTAATAATTTTTCCTTGATAAGTTCCAAATGTGCTTTTTCAAGAGGCAACTTTCTTGTTTTTCTTTGAAGATGTTTCGCTTCTCATCTAAGTAGTTTTTTAGAACTGAAAAACTTATTGGGTGAGAAGCGAAACGTCTTCAAAGAAAAACAAGAATATCCAGTTACCTCTTGAAAAAGCATCTTCGGGACAACTATGATCCAGATGACTGAGAATCTCCACAGACATTTCCTTGATAAACTGTAATTCTGTAAAATTTGAAATCAAACAATAAGCAGTTTGTAGCAGGCTAGCACCATCCTGTGGTCTTCGAATAGTATTGCACATTATTTTAAATTTTGTACATTCTACTAAATTAACAAGTTGTCTCTTCTCTGTGAGTTAATCAGATCTGAAAGGTTTTTTCCCCTTAACTTTGAATATCTGAATAGTGATATTTATAAATAAGATATGTACATAATAGACTTTTTCTATTTCTTTTAATAATGGTTGATTTTGTTTCTCTCTTGTGAAATTGGCCCATCTGCCATATCTGTGGGAAAAAAATGGGCTAATATCCTCCCTACATGCCTCAATTCTACAGGGTCAGAGGCAGAACTGTATAATTTCTTTTCCTTTTCAACTATAGTTCATACTAATAAATATTTACATGTCAGGTCCAAAACCAAGAATGATACATGGTGATTCTTACAAGCAGAGTTCAGACTGACCATTCTACTAAGTGCATCTACAATATAATCTGTGATTATTGGGGGAGGAGGGCTGTCTTCACTCTCTTTTTCTCACACATAATACCTGGACTGAGTTGTCTCTTACTCCTCTGGAATGCAGGCCCTGCCTCCTGAAAATCCACCTCCTTATTTCATTCCATCACATTATCTAAACTTTTGAATTGGAAAGTTCAGTTATATTTTACTGCCTTTCTACTCAGTAATGTCATTTTTCTTACCCACTACGAGCCTTTCCAAATCTGGCAGGTGTGAGAATTGTTTCTTGAATTCTTCATTCCGATATTTGTAAGTAGAACTTGAGATCTGCAGAAATAATGAACTTTAAGTATAAATCCAGCTTTCCTTTGATTTATTAGAGACAATGCTATATTCAGAGTATTGTCAGGAAGGGTTATAGAAATTATTTTGGATCATGAGTTTTTTTAGTTGATAATTTAGTATTTTCTAATATCATCTATTTTTCATTTATACTATTGCTATTGAAAGATGATATAGAAAATAAGTTTCAAACATTAGTCCAGACTAATTTTTCTCTTAGATGACAGAGACAATTAAGAGCATGCACTTATACATTCAATAGAAGAAAATAATTAATTTCCAATATTGCAAGAAAGATTCTTTCAAATTAAAGACTATTTTATTCTTTTAATAGATTGATTTGGCCATTTTTCTTTGTGTCTGGGGAAAAAATATCTGCCCAACCCAAGGAAATATAGGTAAAAATAAAAAATCTGGGGAGCTAGTATTCTAGATGTCCAGCTTTGTGAGCTCTTAATATCCCTATTATAATATATCATACCCTAAGCCAGTGGTGGCGAACCTATGGCACGCGTGCCAGAGGCAGCACTCAGAGCCCTCTCTGTGGGCACACACGCCATGTCCCAGAGATGGCAACTGTCCCTATTCAACCAGCCGTCTGCTAACTCGCTGAGGTCCTACATGGCCAGATGCATCCCAGCACCCATGTGCTCGCTGGCCTCTGTGTGCAGGGGCTGATGGTGTTAGGCAGCCACCGCCCCGGCCCATCTCACCTTGCCCTGTGACAATGGCACCCCCACCTTGCCTTGCCTCACCCCACAGGATGAGCCTCCTGCCCACCGCCCCACCTGCCAGAGACCCCCTGGATCTCCCCCAACTGTGCCCAGACCCCACAGGTGTCCCTCCCCATGAGCAACATCAAGGTGATCACGCCCACCTTGGCCACACCCACCCAATCTGCCATGACCACCACAGCCACACCCACCCAGTGGGCCATGCCCACCTGGCATCCAGCGATAAATAAGTGGGTTTTGGGTTGTAGTTTGGGCACTCGGTCTCTAAAAGGTTCACCATCACTGCCCTAAGCCTTTATAGCATTGTGTCTTTTTCCAGTGAGCTGAATACAAAACCTTTTTTAAAAAGTTCATTTATATAAGGATATGCTTCTTTTAAGTAAAGAATACAGGTTATCCATTCTTATCTCAAGAAAAGATTGTGGAATGTGAAGTAGCTCAAATTAAGCTTTTGTTTTCTTAGAGACAAGTTGCATGCCTTGAGAGTAATCCACAAGTTGATTTTTCCATGCACAATAATTTTTGGTAAAAAAAACCCATATAGATTGGAAGGACAAGGAAATAATTCTTAACACAACTGCTTGAACAATTAAAAGGCAACTTTTTCATTTCTAAGTATAAATGTTTCCATCTAGCTCAAGGACATATGAATAGAATTAAAATGATGTATAATTATATTCTCCCTTTTTTTTTTTTACAATCATAGCCATACAGAAATGAGACCTCCCTCTTCATCATTTTTCCTGATCCTAGTGCACTCTTAAACTTCCAATAATCCAAGAAGGGAAAAATGCAAGCCTCTGTCATTTTGCTTGGAAAATAGGAAATCGCATCCTTGAAATCAGTTTCAAGCAAACTGTCTCTGCTCTGTTTACTCCCACAGGCTTAATGTGCTTTTCCTTCAAATAAAAAGAAAACCACAGAATGAACACAAAAACCAGACTAAAGATAATCCTGGGTAAACTTCTCTGACCTCACTACCACAGGAGGCTCTGGTCTACCTCCCAAATATCCCACATTGATAGGTGCTAAAAGGGACAGCAGCATCCAGAATAATCTCATGGAGCATGTAAAATGGCATTCCACCCCCACACAGCTATACAACGTTTATTTTGGCCAGTGCAGAAGAAAGCCTATTAAGACATTTGAAACAGAAACAGCAATATGTAACTGGGGTAACCTGACTTTCTTTCAAGGTGTAAATCAATCTTCCCATTTTTTAATACGTAAGTGTGCCACTCTTTGAAAAGAGCATTAAACACATAATTTAAACCAGGTTTAATGCTCTTCCAGAAAAACACTAGATGCAGATATATAAGGAGCCTGCATAATTAAGCCACCAAGAGTAGTCTTGTGGTGAGATGGGTGGCAAATAAACTTAATAACAAATAATCCCTATATGGTCCTTTGAGAAGCCTGTATGTATGTATGTATGTATGTATGTATGTATGTATGTATGTATGTATGTATGTATGTATGTATGTATGTATGGTATGGTATGGTATGGTATGGTATGGTATGGTATGGTATGGTATGGTATGGTATGGTATGGTATGTATGTATCACATTTGTATGGTTGCCCATTTCATGTAATAACTCTATCTTTTATAGAGCCTGATCAAAATATTTTTGAATAGCTATGCCAAGTGATTTGAAGGAGGGGGCACATCAGCAACACCAAAAAAAGGTCAGTGTTTCCAGCATTGTAAATGAGGTGTTTCAGAACATTCCGCTAATGAGGGTTGTGCTGAATAAACAGTAATGGCTAAAGATCAGTCCACATGAGACATATATTCATATTCATGGAATCCAAGTGTGGTGCAAGGTCCTTGTGAGATACCTGGAGAAAGATCTTGCTCAGTGATCTGGAAATAGTTCAGTCCTGTTGAATCTAAGTAAATATTCAGGCTCCTCAGTGTTATCAATGCAACTACCTTTCAATCAGACTCTTGTTCCTCCTGGTTGGTAAAAGCTTCTAGGACAGTGATTGGCAGGGTTCACGCAGTGATAAATTCCTCATTGCAAGAGGGGACATTCCCAGCACCTTTTAAGGAGGCCCTGGTTTGCCCTGTCCTAAAAAAGAATGATTCCACCTGCCTGGACAATTTTTATCCAGCCTCCCAGCTTTCCTTTTTAGAGAAGGTGATAGAAAAGGTGGCTGCTTGGCAGTTTCAGATGGTCCTGGATGAAACAGATTTCCTAAACCACTTTCAGTCACGTTTCAGGCTGGCTATGGGACAGATCATCCACTGGCCGCACTTATCTCTGGCGAGGGCGGGATGGTAGTAGTGCAGTCATCCTGGCTGTTCTTGACCTCTCAGCAGCCTTCCATACTATTGATCATGATAACCTTTCTCCAAGGCTGATCCCAATTGGTATTGATAGGGAATAAAAGATCCAGCCCTCAGCCACTCTCTTATGGCATACTGGAGGGCTCAGTACTCTCTCCCCTCCTGTTTAACATTTACACGAAGCTGCTATGTGAGATCATCCATCACCATGGGTTGAGATGTCATCAATATGCTGATGATATTCAACTTTACATCTCCATATATGGTGACCCAAGTGATGCTGTCGCTACCCTCTTATAGTACCTGAAACCTGTAGGGGCCTGGATGGGGGACAATGGGCTACAACTGAACCCTGGCAAGACTGAGTCGCTTTGGGTGCATGGAGCTTCAAGATCCAGCTCTTTGACATCTTTAGTTCTGGACAACTTGCATTATCTCATTCAGGCTCAGTTCATAACTTAGAGGCTCTCCTGATTTCTGCTCAAAGAACAGGTGACAGTTGTGGCTAGGAGATCCTTTGCACACCTTTGGTTTGCGCATCATTGCAGTCTTTCCTAGAGCAGGACTCCCTGCTCTCAATCACTCAAGTCCTAATCATCTCTCATCTGGATTGCTGCAATACAGTTTACATGGAGCACCCCTTAAAATACATTAGGAAGCTTCAACTGGTACAAAGTGCAGCAGCATGAGCAATCTCTGGGGCCCATAGAATGACCAGTGTTACACCACTGCTTCATGAGCTGCATTGACTGTCGGTTTGCTTCCAAGTGCAATTCAAGATATTGGTTATGACTTTTAAAGCCCTCCATGGCATAGCCCCAGATTACTTGATGAACCATCTCGTCCCACTAAGACAAGAATACCCTACTCGTGCCAACAGAGAAGGCCTGTTGAGGATCCCACCGTTTAAGAAACTCCAACTGACAGAATCCAGGACAAGAGTCTTTACTGCTGTAGCGCTGGTCCAGGATAAAGTTTGCCGCCATCCTCCTATCCTCCCGCAAGGACCTCAAGAGCTGGTTCTACTGTTTGGTCTAGGGACCAAATAGGAGAGTACCACACTGGAAGTAGCTGCTGGACTAATTAGCTGATCTCACCCCCATCTCCCCATGCATCCTGCTCTCCCTCCGTCCATCTTTTAATTCATATTATTGTAACAGATTTTATCTTCCTGGGCTCCAAGATCGCCACAGATGGGGACTGCAGCCAAGAAATTAAAAGACGCTTGTTCCTGGGGAGGAAAGCTATGGCAAATCTAGACAGCATACTAAAAAGCAGAGACATCACCCTACCAACAAAAGTACGTATAGTCAAGGCCATGGTTTTCCCAGTGCAATGTATGGCTGTGAAAGTTGGACCATAAGAAAGGCTGAGCGCAAAAGAATTGAGGCCTTTGAACTATGGTGCTGGAGAAGACTCCTGCGAGTCCCCTGGACTGCAAGGCGCAAACCGGTCAGTCCTAGAGGAGATCAACCCTGACTGCTCTTTAGAAGGCCAGATCCTGAAGTTGAAACTCAAATGCTTTGGCCACCTAATGAGAAGGAAGGACTCACTGGAGAAGAGCCTAATGCTGGGAAAGATTGAGGGCAATAGAAGAAGAGGACGGCAGAGAATTAGGTGGCTGGATGGAGTCACTGAAGCAGTAGGTGTGAGCTTAAATGGACTCCAGAAGATGGTAGAGGACAGGAAGGCCTGGAGGAACATTGTCCATGGGGTCGTGATGGGTCGGATACGACTTCGCAACTAACAACAACAACATTGTATTTTCATTATTTTTATTGTTTCAATGCTTTGCTATTGTTAACTTTACATTTTTTTTTTATCATTTTTTTCTATTTTGCCCTTGTAAGCTGCCTGGAGTAGCCCCAAAGCGAAAGGAGCAGCAAATAAAATTTAAAAATAAATGAATAATAAATTACAAAAATGATTAATTAGGCTTCTTTGTTTCATGATTTGTAGAATACATGGATTAACTGAGCCTTGACTCAGTGATCTAGCTGCTGTAAAGAGTCATAGGTATTCCTGTGCTTTCTGTGCCATGCATTTATACAACAAACCTCAATATAAATAGTTTATACTTACCCATTAACCTTTGTGTCTTACTAGATGATACAAGAAAATAAAGCTTCACTAACACTAGAATAAAGTCTGAAGGTTGTCTGGAGTTGTTTGAAGGTTGAATCATTGCAACTGTACTAATTTTTTGTTATTAGTTTGAGAGAAGTTTCACTGCCCATCTAGGCAGCTACTTCAGTCAGACCAAGGCAGTTAGGCAGAGAGTCGTTGGAATGTACCAACTCCTGCCACATCAACCTCAAGGGTTTCCTCCCCAGAGTGTGTTGCAAAACGTGTGTTTCAGTGTTTCAATCACCCAGATCTGAAGATTATCTGAAGTTATTTGAAGGTTCAACTGGACTAATTTTTTGTTGTTAGTTTGAAAGACATTTTACTGCCCATCAGCTAGCTTCCTCAATCAGATCAAGGGAGTTAGGCAGTGAGTTGTTGGGATGTACCAAATTCACCTGGATTATTGAGTATTGAGGTTGGTGTGGCAGTAGTTGGTACATTCCAACAACTCGCTGCCTAACTGCCTTTGTTCTGTTTCAGGAAAAGAGGCATTGAGACGAAGCAACGAGTTCCAACAGTTCTCCTTTATTGCAACACCAACAGAACAGGTTTTAAAATGGTGCGGCCCCCTTTTATTGTCCCCCTGCACAATGCCTTGCTGGCCAATCATTGCAAAGGCTGGGAGCAGCCTTTCTTGTCCCGGGCATCCACATGGTCTGCCCGGGCCAATCACTGCAGCCTGTGCCTGCTGGCCCAGGACATAACAGCCTTGATCTCACTGAGAAAGCTGCCTGGATGGGCAATGAAATGTCTCTTAAACTAACAACAAAAAATTAGTCCAGTTGCAATGATTCAATCTTCAAACAACTTCAGAAAACCTTAAGACAACTCTATCTGGATGACTGAGAATCTTCATTAACACTAGAATAAAGTCTTCTGTAAAGGACATTCTATGGAGAGCTACAGGGAATGTGGGGGAGGGGAGGATACTAAATGTGACATATCACATGATTTCCTGACTTGGCCATCTTAGTGATTCATATTTAGTTTATATCATAAATAGAACTAATTTCTTACCAACATAGTTATTGGACATTATGGATGGATCATGCATGGAGATTTACAACTACTTGATGGCTCATAAACTTTATAATATTTGCTATCGGTATGGAGATTCTGGGAAACAAGCGTATTCCTGAACGATATATCCCACACTTTATACTACTTTCACTTCAAATTTTCCAGTTTAGTGTTCTGTTAAGACTGTGCACGTTTATTCCTTGCTTTAGCAACATCACAGTTTAGATGTTATGTGTAGGGGTGCTATTTGCTTTGCATTAATATTTTAATATATTTTATTCTTAAGGCTATATTTTAAATTGAATTGCTAATTTCCTTACTGGAATTTGGTGCATTTTGGTTGTGGTGCAAAGAAATCACTTGCTTATTTTGAATGTATGTGACATGTGTGTGCTGATCTCAGATCCTTAAGACCAATCACTCTTTGTAACCTACTAGCTATGGACTAATTATCAATTGTTTGGGTTCTCTTCGGTTTATTACTTTTTTTCATGGCTATTTTGCCAGAACACTAAAAACATTGTGGAATATGATTTCTCTCTCTCTTTGTGTGTGTGTATGTATGTGTATTGTGTTTGTGTGCTTGATTTGCTGCATTTCGGATAAGTAACCGAGAAAATTATGCAAGCTCAGCTAACAAAACTGCAAGAAAATAAATATATTCAGGAAATATTTTATGCAGCACTATAAGATATGTGTTACCTTATACAAATCCACAGTTCTGTGCAACAATGAATGTAATGCCCCACACCCAAACAAAAACTCTTTTAGGCAGTGCTTTTTTTCTAAAAATAAAAAAAAAAGGTGCTGGAACTCACACACGTCATACAACCCGCCTTGCCTACCCTACAAGGTTCCATCCAAAAAAGGTGCTGGAACTCCGTTCTGGGCGTTCTATGAGGAAAAAAAGCCCTGCTTTTAGACACTTTTAGCTTAAAAGAAAGAAAGCAGCTCTACCCATCTTCTTCTTGTCTCTAGAGAATAAATCAGAAAGTTTTTTTACCTAGTTATTAAAGATAATTCTCCAAACCATACCCAATTTTTCTACTGACAACATTCCCTTTGGGTAAAGCCATCACATATGCTTTGAGCAATGTGTTTACTTTCTTGCTCTGCCTAAACAGAGGAATACTTTAGACAAACTGTCAAATGTTCCCAACTTTCTGGAAATGCTGCCCAAATACCATAGTTCCAAACCACAGTTCTTGCCACAGTTCGCCTCAGGTTACCTCCTTCACCATAATTTCCTTCATCTCTAGCACTCGGTCAAAAAATCAGGATGGTATGTAAATGACATAGAGAATAGCTTAGAAGGACAAGAAGAAGAGATGATACCAGATCAAGGAGTCAGGCCAAAGAAATTATGTGAACACAGCAAACATCTCAGACAAGCCTTCCTCCCCCAGTTCACAAAGACAAAATGAGGGAGGGAAAGCACATTCAGAGCTGCAAGATTCTGTTACAATAGCTGTTACAATAAAAATAGTACTGACCCACATGGCATTGCTTTCTTAGGTTGGTTTGCCTTATTGTGCTAACATACTCCAATCATGTTTGCTTAAATTCTCACCATTTATCAAACTGGTGAGGGCTGGAACCCAGCAACAACTGGAGAACAATCCACTTGTTGCCTTTTGTATATTGAACTGATCTGTAACATCCATCTTCTTCTCAATCACTAATGGAAAAGTGTTTCAAGAGTTCAATCTGGATACTTTACTTACAGTCATTTTCCATGGCTCTTCATTTCCCCAGAGTTGCTCTGGGAAGAGCAGTCTCCTAAGCAGAAGATATTCTTCCTGTGGGGCACTGGCAGACAGAGGTCTGGACATTAGTGAGATTGGGTCTCCGTCTATGGCCCAGCCTCACTCTTATTTGTAGAGACTGGAGAAGAAAGATTTTGAAACATTTCAGATTAACTACGTACCAGTTGGGCAAGCAAGAGTTTTTGCCTTCTGTGTGACTAGGGAAAACAATGCTTACTGGAATCAGATACTTCTATGACATTATTTTTCCAAGATGCAGATTATCGGATTAGTAATGCAGAAACATGATTCTTCACCCAGTAGCAGAGATGCAAAATAATTGATGTTGAATTGTAAGATATGGGCATTAGATGTTGAATAAAATGAAGACAAGAAAGAAAGGGTTATATATGTGTAATAATAATGGAGAACGGGACATTCCTTGTATATTAATATTAGTATTAGTCTTCTTTCTTATTAACATCCTTACCTGTAGTCCTGTGCTAAATGTCCCAAAGACATCATAGTAATTCCTGAAAATGGATATTTTCAGTAGTACAAATGTGTTAACAGTTTGGTTGTATTGTAGAATCCTTCTACTGTGTAGTAAGTAAGTGAAAGTCGTAAGTAAGACTTGATTCTGGAGAAAACTTTTTGGATTAGTTTCTTTGAATGATTTTTTATGGCTCTTAATTTTATAGATTTTTTTTCATGGAATCATACAGTTGGAAAGGGCCAGAAAAGTAATCAAATTCAACACTTTTAGTGACAGATCCGCGACAGTTTATCTGACAAAAGACTGTCCCGCTTCTGTTGAGGACATCTAATGAACAACTCACCACATTTGTGGCAAGCAGGTTCCACTAGCTGACAATGTGTATAGTCAGGATGTCTCTTCTGAACCTTCTCTTTGTAGTTATAACTCACTGGTTTTGATCTTGTTCTCTGAGACAATAGAACAGGGGTGTTAAACTGCCGGCCCGCGGGCTGGTTGCATCATATGGAGGCCGCATCCACCCCAGCTCTGGCAATGCAAAAAAAGTCACAATACATCGTGAAGCAGCAAGTTTGATACCCGTGCAATAGAGAATACC